TCTCCTCCCGCTCTGTTGTTTGTTAATTCTTTTCTGCTTCAGTTATACTACCTCTGTTTTCATATATATATATATATATGGTCCAGCACGGCGTGATCTCTCAAGCTATGGAGCTCCCTGAAACTTAGTCTTGCTTTGGGTTTTATCGCTTTCTCTTGTTATAAACACACACACACACACAGAGTCCAGCACGGCCAAAAATAAAATTAAAGTCTAATTAAAAAACTGATACCAACATCGAAGTTGGAATCCGCGCTAACGAAAATTTATGAGGCCGTGGCCCTTAGACAGCTAGAAGCTAGATCGACACTTTAATTAAAGGTGCTTTTATGGGTGATAACTGATGAGATTCAAAATCCAGCAAGCAAAGTTAAGCCTTCTTAATTGTTCAGTTCTACTTAAACCCCATTGCGGTTGTATGTAGGTGCATGCGTATGCTCTTATTGTTGGCTAAAAATGATCTCTTCAGCCCTTAATTCCACAGAACTTTAATCAACTAGCAATTAAATTCAGTAGTACTATGGCATCAGGTTAATCAATCATATCACTCACACATCCACGCTCCGCAATACCCACTAAAGCTCATTTACTATGCTCAACTGTTCCTCGCCCACCATTCTTTCTTTTCACCCTATAAATACATCCTCCCATTCCTATGCTTTATACCACATAACATAGAAACTAGAGTAAGGAAGTAATTATATATAAGCAGTGCTTGAGATGGGTAAGTGGTGTATCGTGGTGCTGGTTTTTGTTCTGGCTGTGGCCGCCGCCGGGAATGTACCAAACGAGGCGGCTGGTGTCAAGGACCAGAAGAACTCTCTCTCCTATGGCGGCATTGGTGGTTTTACTGGAAATGGTTTCGGAGGTATTGGTTCCGGAATCGGCGGATACCGCGGATTTGGTAGCATCGGTGGAATTGGCCGTGTCGGAGATGCAGGCGGCCTCCTTGGCGGTCGCGTTGGCGCCGCCGGCGTTCTTCCTCACCCTTGAACCCATGCAATGCAAGGCGATATAATAGTACCTTTAGTCTCTCTTTGTCTGCGTTCAGAAATAAATAATATAGTCTGCGTGTGTTGTTGATCATCCGCATAGACTAGAGGGAGTAAGGAGAAGCAACGTATTTTCGTATGAACAGTACTTTGCTTTAATATTTTACGTTTCACTACTACATATGCATGCACGACGTGTTTCTCGTTTCAATATGAACGTCGAAGTAATTAATGATCTTGTGTGTGTTTTTATATATATGCTTCGGGCTTATTTTAATTTATATATCTCTCTCGAGTCTCTACTCTCCTCCTCGATGCACTACTCAACAGAAGTATCAAAACTAATAATAAGATCCTATTAGATTTACTGATGTATATACTTAATTACCCTAATCTGTACCTCCTCCTACTTTCAAAACAATCCAAAAACTAACATATCTGGAAAACGCTCGTTTGGTCTCCGGCTAACTAGCATAAAAAGTTTAGTTTGACACGCATGCATAAATGCCGAAAGCTGAGTGATAGATAACGCACACAATCACACACAGGGAAACATATCTAGGATTTTTTTTTTAGCGTCCGATCTTTATTTGGTAAATTTAATGAACATACAGTACGCGGGGGATATTAATTCCTAGAGGGCCGAGTGATGCTCATTCCTATTTCGTCACGTCCCCCAATATAATGTTTCCCGCACCAAGAAATCATACTCTAACCATCGTCCCATCAACGTCTGGAAGCCCTTCTGTGTTGCTTTGTGTTTGATACAAAGGGGAAATTCTAGTGCTCCACGGCTGTATAATTATTCTAAATAAGACAGGACTAATCACGTCTGCTCAAGTTATTATATGGATGTATATTTAGCTTAATTAAACCCCGTGGTGTGAATGAAAAGAGAATATCGAAGATTAGCCTTGGTATCTGCACAACGGCAGAGGAGGTGAAATCATAATAAAAACTCTGTCTGAAATGAAGCTATTGCGGGTGGGTTGCTGAAGTTACTTATTGAATAAGAGAATTGAACAAGAGAACATATTCGAAAGTGAAGGGCTAAGCTAACATATAATATAGCTCGAGACTTGATATAGCCTCTAGAATGTCTCAAACATGAAACATAACTAATCGTGGTCATCGTGTCTTGAATACGATCTCGTCTCAAGTCAGTCTGGTCAACAATTTCGTTTCCCCCAGAAATGGAAGCACAGGAAAATTAGCAGCTGGGACTAAGCAATGTTCTAAAGGATGATATGCAGGTCAAGCTTCTCTGTTCCCCGCCTGCCCAGAACCAAGCCTACCACGCTCTTTCCTTCTCCCTTCCCACTTTGTAACTGGCCTGCACCACAGAATTAAACGACCCAAAAAAACAGATTGAAAGTTCAGAGCACCCTGCGGGATTCACACTGTCCTAAAATTGGTGTAAGCACTCTTGTGTATTTTTCTTTATCTATTTTTTCCCCAATTATACAATCCAGCACACCAAATAAGGAAGGTTCATTAAAAACTTACTTATACCAATAACCTCGGAAGTTGGAATCTGTGCGTATGGTAATTTATGAGGCTGTAGCCTGTAAAGCGAAATGTTAGATTGGCACTTGAATATATGGTGGCATTTTTATGGGTGATAGCTGATGAGATCCAACCCTTCTTAATTGTTCGGTTCTCTTTAACCCTTGTTATAGTAGTGTGTAGGTGTATGCTAGCTCTTGTGGTTGCTCAAATGTTCCCTTCAGCCCTTAATTCCAAAGAACTTTAACCAACCAACAATTAAATTCATGAGTAGTACAGCATTGGGTGCGCAACTGTTCCTCCCCCACCACTCTCTTTTTTTGACCCTATAAAAAGATGGATCATGCAAGTTCATAGCACCAGATAGACTAGAGGGAGACTCAGGTAAAGAATCAGTTAATTAAGCAGCGTTTGAGAGAGACCATGGGTAAGTGGCGTATTATGGTGGTTCTTGTTCTGGCTGTGGTGGCCAGTGCTAGGAATGTGCCAAACGAGGCTAATGGTGTGAAGGACGAGAAGACTTTTCTCGGCTATGGCGGCTATGGTGGCGGCGGTGGGGGCTTTTCGGGAGGCGGTTTTGGAGATGCCGGTGCTGGAGCTGGCCGTGTAGGTGGACTCCACGGTGTGGGAGCTGCAGGCGGCGTCATTGGCCCCGGCATAGGCGCGGGGCTTCTTCCTCACCCTTGAACACTCATGCATGAAGATATAATTAATATCTCTGGTCTCGGTTGTTCCCCCTGGGAAAGAAATAATATATATATATATATATATATATATCAGTTTGCGTGTGTTGCTTCTATATAATCCAAATCGCTAAAAATAAAGTAGCGTGTTTTGTTAATATTATTAGTGTTTTTCATATTTGAATAATAATACGTTTCACCACGATGCATGCACGACGTGTGGTGATCTCATATATCAGTTTGAAGTAATCAAGATCAATCTGGTGTGTGTTTTTATACATGTTTCGTGCTTATTTTTGCTGTCATCTTTAATTTGATGCTTTCAACAGAAATATTCTTTCTACTGATACAATTAACGTAGGAGAGCTTTGCTGCTCCAGCCTTCAGAACTTCAGATATATGGAAAACGGTCGTTAATTTGGTTGTTCGGCCAACTTATACGGCAAACAAACGAAGAACTTAATTAGCACGCCATTCATTTTTGCTGCGCGGCTTGAGAAGTAAATTCTTGGGGTCCGGCCATTATTTGGTAAATCTAAGCAACAGAACAGGGGATGTTAGTTCCTACGGTGGCCGATCGAGTGCTTCTTATATGTCATCACGAACCACCTTCGCTCAATCTGCACCACTAATGGTACTAGTGTAATATAATAATATAATTAATATATGTCCTCGGATTCTCTCGTCACCTCTAACAGGCCATCTCATGAAAATCAAAGAGGGGCAAGCGATTCTGTCAGAAAATGGAAAGAACTTGCATATAAGTTTACTAAAAAGCTCAGGATCTAAGGAGCGAGGAGTGAAATAACAAACGCAACGTGCATACGCGGCTGAGTAGATTCAAGAAGGGGCGGGTCCGAAAATCTTAAACATGTTGGAAATTAAATGAAGGGGTTAACAGTGTGTAGCCTCTGGGTGGTCCTAAACACGAAACATAGCAGTGATTATATGATTAGTAAACGGGTGTGGAGTAAGGAGGGAGTATAGGGTACCAAGGAAGGCCTTTAATGAGCAGTTAAGGTTTTTTAAATTAATGCTGGTTTGGTGTAAGCTTTGCAGATCTTCTGATTAAGAAAATGGTCCTCTGCTTTAATATCGCTTTGGTTCTCTGCTTTCAGCTTTCCTGTTTACTACAATTAACGTAGGAGCTTTTTAATATTCAAAATATTATTTTTATTGTAGGTTATGTATCCATTAAAAAAAAGTTTTTAACAAAACAAAAGCAGAAAAAATCAAATTTGGTTAATCCATATTTGATGAGCATTATAATAGTTATGATTGCGATGTGCAGCAAAACTAGGATATTCCTTAATTTACTTTCCAGTTTCTAGTGATCAATTTATATTTAAACTTCATGTTACAATCCTCTTATATATTGTGATTTTTTTAGTTTGAAATATTTGGTTTTAATTTATGTTTCGAATTGTAAAACAGTAATGTTATATTTAAAATTTTTTATAATATCTTTTAAACATCGACTTTGTAAAAACCAAAAAAAATAGTTAGGAAAAGTTCTCTAGATATATATATTTTAAAATTAAAGAAGAAACATAAATTATTCCAATAAAATTTTAAAAATAATTCATTCATAATTGTGTTGGCTAAAAATACATAAGAAATTAAAAAGAGTTTACATTGCAAATTTTTTTTATGAAATATAATTTTTTCGTAACTCAATATCATATAAATAAACTTTTTGAATCATTCAAGTACACGTGGATATGCAGTGCAGGATGAACTCGGGGAGCCAGCATGCTTAACCCGCTTTTTAAATTAGTTTTTTTAAGAAGAAAAGTAAAAGAAATTGAAACCCTCAAGCAGGTAACCTTCCCGGGCTTCCCCTGTCATCTTTGCCGCCTCTTTCCTCTCCGTCTCTCCTTTTGCTCCGGCGACCAGCACCACCCTCCTCACCTTCGCCCTCGACTCCCACTGTTGCTCTGGTCTTGGTCCTTCGAGCTCGAATTCTTCCACTATTTCCGTGTCTCTTCACCTTATTGGATATCTCTAGTTAAATGGGTCCTCGACAATGTCAAGTTTGCAATGAGACTCAATCAAAGTACAAGTGCCCTTCATGTTATACACCTTAGTAAGTAATACTCTGTTCTTTATTTCTGATTAGAGACGGTATAACTTAAACCCACTCTTTTTTCAAATTATTGAAAATTATTACTCCCTAATTTGATTTTATCTATTGTATTTCCAGCTGCTCTCTGGCCTGTTTTAAGAAACACAAAGGTATGAAATTATTTCATGGTACTTTATGGGTGTTCTCTCATTGATTGTTTGCTTGCTGTCTGTTTAATTTTCCGCACACGGATCAGTTAGAGGAGTGAATTTTGTATCATATCAGATTAGCACCGTTGCTTCTGAGATTTTTCGTAGTAATATTGAACACTTAAACAGATCTGTGCTTGCTTCAATGTTGCAGAAATTCCATGTGTCAAGCCACCACCTTCAGAGCTAAAAACGAGTAAGAGTTTCCTCGACTTGTATGACTGCTGGAATTGCCAAGATGTTTTCTGTAATCTTTATGCGGTGTGATGAATTTTCCTTCTCAACCCTTTCCGCGAGGAATAATAAAGTTTGGAGTTTTACTAAGATGGGTCCAATGATAATACTACATGTTTGTTCTCATTTTATACTTTATAATAAGGATTCTGTTTTCTCCAGCTTCTTTATCTACCTTGGGGCATTTTCAGTTTAGTATCATGCCAAATTGAGTGACTCAAGTGGCTTGCTCTCACCTTGTAGAATTTTTTACAATTTTCTTGGAGGTCTTTCCTTTCCCCTTTTATCTCCCAACTCTGACACCTTGCTTTCGCCTCCCTGATTTTGGGTTTCAATACTCAATGTACGGTGGTAGACAAATCGTCTAGTCTCATTTTTCCCCCCCAAAAACCTTTCTTAGTTTTATATTTGTAAATACTATTAAACAGATCAAATTTTTGTTAATGGAATAATATGCTCCTGGACCTGCAACATTATTTTTACCGTCAGGCCAGTGCAATCTACGTCGTTAAATTTGCTTCAAACTAGCTTTTACACAGCAATTCGTTGCTCTTAGGGGCTATCATGAATTGATGTTTGTTTCTGTATATTCGTCAGCTACCATTGCAGAGTCTCATGTACAAAAGCCAATAGTTGTTGATGAACCCAGCGAGGTACTGCAAAAATCCCAACTAGATGCCATAGGTATGATATTTAGAAATTTGCACTTGGAACCCCTTCCCCCTTACCACGCATTTGCATTTTTGCGTTTGTATTGACCTTCCTTACCCTCAATGATTGGGAAGATCTGCTATACGAGCATACAATGATACACAGTATATATGGTATATCGTTTTAATTCTAGTTTATTTGCAATGATCTGTTATTACTATCTTTGTTATTGTTCAAGCATTTTTTCCCTACAGGCAGGGTAACCGTTGGTTAATCTATTCTTTTGTTTTATCAAGTGATTATATTCTTTTTGCAGCTTCTTCCAGTAAGATTCGCAGTGCTTTGAAGGATAAAGCCCTTCAAGGACTAATTTGCAGGATCGATTGTTCCCCAGATGCTGAGAATGTAAGTTGTCAATCTTTACTCAGACGCTCTTTTCTAAAATTTCACGCTTTATCTATGCCTGTGGGCTGTTGAGTGGCTAATCCAGCATCTTCAATCAGACTATGGTCCTTAAATTAAGTACGCTAAAGTTTGAGCTAAAGAGATATTTCATTTGAAAATTTGCGGCTCTGACCAGGTACTTGATAAAGCCATGACGGAGGAACCAATGCGATTGTTTGTGGAAGAGGTAATGCGATCCACTGTTACTCATATTTAGGTTGACTCACATTGAATAATCTGAGTTTTCCGATGCCCTTAATCTTATTCTTACTCTTTTAATCTGGTTTGCAGATTCTGTCAGTAATCAATCCATAAGTTCGAGCAACTGTTTCTGGTAGGATAATATGTGGTAGATAGTTACGTACGCGTTCCAGATGGGAGCCTCCAGATTATGCCAGTTGTTAACCAATGTTGGTTTTTTTAATGATCTATGCGGCCTCCCATGACTTAGCCTTGGATCATATTTATCGTCTTTATTGGGCATGGTCGTAGGAGTATCTGCAAAATTAGTTCAGAGTTTGACAAGAGTGTAGATGGGAATAGAATCCCCAAATTTGTTATAAGTAGATTTTTGGCTTCTATAGATGTGTCGAGGTGTATCTATAACTATAATTCTGACATTGATCACCCTGTTAATCGTTTTGTAGATTACGATTTTCAAAATACCATGGTATGTAATGATTCCTTTTTTACATGTGCGTATGCATGGATGCATGTGTTTCTTATGGGCGTCTCAAGATTTTTCCCTCAGTCGGCATTTGAATGATACAAGGATGCCTAATAAAATCCTATTAAAACTGAAATCAGATCATCCACGGGCATCAATGAATGATGATGATAACATCGCAAAGAAGGAAGAAAAATGAAATTGAGTCATGCAAAATAGTATTATACTATTATTTGGTTGAAGATTTTCATTTATAATTCCCCCAGTTCAATGACCGGACAAATTGTGGGAATTGTTGCTTGAAACAATAATCTGGAACAAATATAAGAATGTTGAGATCACGCTGCAGAGAAGAGCCTGCATTTCCGCGACAGGGCAATGCATCCATCTACCTGGTTCCCCCTCTAGAAGCCAAAGAACAGAGCATGAAAATTTAATGAGGGATTAGGAGAGGGTAAAAAATAGCCTATTTTTGCTAGCCCGGTGTGCTTACATGTCGATCAGCTTGCTACTGAGAACTGGTAAACATTTTGTCCTCGAACGCAAAACTTGGCAGCTGTGATTGAAAATAAGACCTACAATTTCACAAGATCATAGTTAATGGCGGTCATTTTTATTTCACGCTATGTAAGTCATTCAGTACTTACAATATTAGAGCTGCTGGTATCAGCAAGGTTTGATCAGCTCTTGAATGGAACCATGAGAAAATCATCCATTTTCTGCATTGCGTCCAGAAAAATCAAAATGCTTTAGACGATGGAATGGGATTATAATGACTGAAGCATAGAAGAAGACGATACACTTAAGTTCTCTCATTAATATCAGATCCCACTTTCATTAATGCAGTAAACCACAAGAACCTTGTGTTATTATGTGCCGGGGAAGTCTGTGACACAATTATACAGTCAGCCCCGTTGCCCCTCAATAATTCTTGTCCTTTTATTTCCACAGCAAGAAGCTAAGTCTTGAAGAATACAAAGTATTCACCTGGCTGATGATTTTCTGGATTCTCACGGGCCCTACTGGTACCTGGCTTGCCGATATCTGGTTGCATCATTGTCTGATTCTGAACAAGGAAATGAACCTTAAATAAGCGGTCCTCCCGCAGTTACACTCATTCAACATTCTTTGGCCAAAAAAATAAAGATTCAGCATTGATTTTCTTCTGACACTACTGAACAAGATCCGGAACTCGAGTTGATTTTTTTCTAATTTCGCCAGGGCTACTATCACAGACCCCTAATTGTTACGCCAGATATGAAGTAAATAATTTATTCTATCTGCCATCAGCCTTGAAAACCAGCAGAGTTATTAGACATTGAACATCAGAGGACAAATTTACCTGCATTAAATGGCACTGAATCTGGTGGGGACCAAGGTATTGGTGATAAGCTTGAGTGAGGTTTGGGATCCGTGAGTGAATAGGATCAGATGAAGTCAGCGAGGGAAGCATGTTATCTGGCTTGTTTGCTGCTTGCATGCTGGATAAATCAGGTGCAGCAACATGGAAAGGAGGAGGCACAGAAAAGGACCTTGGTCCCATATAAGCGGGAACTGCGGTGGCGGCCGCGATATTAGTAAACGGCATCACTGGTCTGTTCATTCCCATTTCCATGCCCACCATGCCCATTCCCATTGCTGGCATGTACTGCTGCATTCCTGGGTACATCATGGGTAACATTCCATATCCCATGGACATCATCTGCATAAAGTCAACTCCATTCTTGCTCTCATCAGAAATCATGCTATTCGAGTATAACACATGATGGTATATGAGTGTAATAACGCATTCACGGACTCACAGATGAAGCTACCTGAACTTGTAACTGCAATGACTTCAAGTATTCAATTGCTTCATCCAGCATTGAAGCTTTGTCAGACTGTAATTAAGGGGGAAAAAATGACGATATTAGAGAAACTGCAATGAAGAACAAATGCATTTAAAATATTGTTCCTTGTGATGTCAACAAGAAAGCAGGGAGAAGATCAAAACAGCCTGATGACCTTATTGCACCGAGGAATAAGTTCTTGTAAAGCTCTCATCTTTTCCTTAATCCTATCTCGACGTCTCTGCAAAATAATGCAAGTTGGAAGCTTTCAGCCTGGGAGAAACACAGCAGAGGGAAATCATTCATTTTTGGAAGTAATGTACAGTACCCTCTCCGATAGATTATGGACCTCCGCAGCACGGGATCTCTTCGTTGATTTCGATCCGCGAGCTTGTTTTCTTGCCTCCGCAGATTCGTAATCCAAATCCTTTTTGCAGCCACCCAAATGGACATAGGTAAGAACCCCACGGAAACACGGAAAAGCCAAACAGGCAACAGAAAGCAGAAAACAAGAAAGAACCTAAAGTTTGATGATGAATAAGCAATCTGCCTTCAGCCTGGGCTAACTAACATATAGAGGAATTGACGAGCTCAAGTGCATCGGAAACCAGTACGAGTGTACAGCATAATATTCTGGCCAAGAAAGAAGTACAACTTTTTCATGCAATATGTATCTCCTACACTAAAGAGGTCAAATACTGATACATTTTATAAAGCCTCTCATGAAGCCATTTATCATGGACTGCTGGGGGTATCCCTGTGACTCCTACCATCACAATGTTTAAAATCTTCGAATCACATAAATTCGCTTTCGTGTAAAAATAGCTCAAGTGCTTCTGCGTTTTTTAGGTCCACAAAAACTAATTTTTTTTTTTTTCCGAAAGCGTTCAATTCAATTGCAGAGCAGGGGTTAATCCACGTCATCAACTTCGGCCTTTACAAGCCGGGGGAGTTTGGGAGTGAGCGAGTGACAGAAACTGAAAATAAAATAAAATAAAAGGAACCTTCAAAATGAAAACATTCACTCACCTCGATGTGACACTCTGAGTCATCGGCTTCCCGCCCCTTCCGCTTCCGATCCTCCGCCGGCGACCTGTCAGACAGTTCTGCACTCCTAGTTGACCCTCCGGGCGACGAAGTTGCCGTCATCTCACACGCCATCACCTCCGTTCCTCCACCGGCTGTCGTAGTCGAAGGCCCTGCAATCCCTGTAGTACTCGTGCTCCCTCGACAGGCGGCTCCTTTGGTTGGCTCCGCCGTGCTTCTCACGGCGTCCGAGACTCTGGGAGTCGCCACGACTGCAAGAGTGTCGCATGAATCCACCGCCGTCGATTCCCTAGCCGCGGTCCTTGACCTCGATGGCCCTGATTCAACTCTGGCATTGTGTTTCGAGAAGTGCTCGGATTCTTGCATCTTAGCCTGTGGCCCCCATGTCGGAGGTATAGGGGGCGTAGGAGTAGCTAATGACGTCGAAGGCTGCCCGAACTCCGTCACCTGAGGTGCTCTGACATTGGTTTGCATGGTGGCACTGTTGTTGACGGCGGTGTGTGGCGAGTAGAGGAGGTCCGCACTGAAATTGTGATCCAGGGGAGAATCGTCGACGATGGGGCAGTGAAGCCAGGAAGCCATTTCGTCTTCTTGCACGAACAGATGTTGGTTGCTGTAGTTTTCCGCTTGGGGTGAGGGTCCAATCTCAATCTCCGTCGCCGTAGACGGCCCCGAAGCAGTCACATCTCCGGACGGCTTGGGCGGCGGAGGTTTTCTGAGAGTCCGATGGTTTAAGCTGGGCAAAGCGACGGGGCCGTTTTGCCAGAAGAGTTCCATGATTCCATCGTCTGGCCTGGCACAAAGAGGTCCACATGAAAGCAAGCTCACAGCGAAGAAAGTTAAAAGAGATATAAGAGCTTTAGAAAAGCTTACAGGAAGGGTCTGTTAAGGGGAGTGGGGGCAGAAGGCAGGGGCATGGGGTATTCATCATGACGATCCATTTGAAGCTGGAAATCTGGGACACCGTGATTCATAATTCGGCCGTTGAGCTAAAAGGAAAAGGGAATTCCGAGAGAGAGAGAGTGAAGAAGAAACCCATGAAGCTAAAATAAACGACAACTTACAGCGGCAGCAAAGCTGTGGAGTATTTGTGGAAGAGAGGTGGGCAGGAATTGAATGTCTGGAGAAGAAAAGAGGAGATAGCGGGTGTCGAGGGAGTAATAGTGGTGCTTGCCTTTTGCGTTAATGTGGTTGGGAGAAGCCGGGAGGCTCTGGTAACTGTTGCCCAAAAACACGAAGCAAACAAACATACATCTCTCGCTCTCGTAGAGGACGAAAGCCTTTCTTAACTCTTTTGTAGGACTTCCATCCACCTCGCTTCTTCTTGTCTCTGTTTAAACCCCCCACTTTTCCTGCACTTCCACGCTCAATTCATACGCAGTCTAATGGTACCTGCTTAATCCCATGTTGCTATGCCTCCGCCTACTACTCATTTTCTCTGCTTTGTTAATACTATGAAGTGCGTCTTGTGGGCCCTCTCTCCTTGTTTCCTTGTCTGGTGCGCCCTTCCCCTCCCCCAAGAAACGAGATGAAATGACAATTGAGGACTCGGCTGCAATTTTCTGTTAAGAAAAATGTATGGCCTCTGGTTCCACTTCCTCGTATGAGCAGAGTATACATGACATAAATGTCAAGACCCGCGTTAGTAATGGGTGGGGTTTAACGTTTTCTGGGAGAATCTTGTTCCTTTAATTTCTTATTTTCCAATGACGTCGTGCTGTGTCTGCCATCAAAATAGAGAACCTCTATGCCACGCTCATCATTTTCTAATCTCTGCCTGTCAGATATATATAAGCCCTCTGGTTTCTCCATACATCCATCTTCTCCATTCTCAACATCCCAGCTTTTCCTCTACCAATATTCTCACTTCTTGTCTCTGCATGGCTTAAGTGTTCAACACATGTGCCTTTTCAAGTTTCAACTCTCAACCATTCGTTCAAGTAATTAAACAGCCGGTCCATTTCTTTGTTTTTAGCGGAGTACTAACTCCGATCTTAATTATAAAAGCCAGTTAACTAATTTGAATAGATTAAGAAAGTAAGTTGAGTTAGTTATTTGTCCTAAATAAATATTGTCTTTCCTAAAATATTATTGCTAATCAAGTGTATTGATTATAACTCTTATTATTAGAAGGGCTACTTTGGAAATAAATGTATAAATATAAGAGACAAAATTGATTGGGATCTTATATTTAGGATTAAAATAAAAATCAAATAGAGTCTTATATTAAGAATCAGAGGTAGTATTTGGCATAACCACCGGTTTAAGTAACAAAAATAATATGAGTTTATTAGTTAATAAGCTTTTTTTTTTACAAGCATGTTTTTTGACACTATCGCAACTGATAACTTGTCAGCAGTTACTAAGCATTTTTATTGCTGTAATTACATTATTCTGCTGCTGTTGTCTTTTCACTCGGACTGGAATTTGTTCCGGTTGGGATGTGGCTTCACGGTCTTGACCCCTTGTTTTTTTAAACAATGTGATTGATCCTTTTTTTCCCAAAAAAAAAAAAAGAAGAGCCTTTGAATTCTGTTGAAAACTTATCAACGTGATGATCGAGGAGAACAAAGCGTGGTACGTGCAAATAGCGTAAAAGTCTAAAATTTGTCTACTTTTTGTCTGTGACGTAGGCACGCGTGTTTGTGTAAACTAGCGGTCCTCATTTTGCCGAGCTCGTCCCCTCTAAGCACACCACGAGAGCACATCCGTCTGACGATGTACTCAGGATAATCCAATGTATCAATTAAAACCGAAATAATTTCTACTTTCTGTAAGGATTTCGAATCTGGGAATGAACTCATGAAGCCACCAGTTTGTGGATAAGAGACTGAAAAGCAACTTTCAATGTTAAATTAATTCGTGCTTCTTTGTTTTCTTTTCTCCTCTTGTTTATCTTTAATCAAATACCGGTACTTTCTGTTTGGCACAATCATTCTGGACGAAGCTAATTAATTACCTGCGGACGATGGTGGGTTTTACACTTTTGCTCCAAAAAGGTTGAGTGGAAAACGGCAATTAACGATAAACCGTCCCAACAAATATAATTAGAAGCATAATGCATGATCCCAATTTATATATCTTCCATTGACGTAAGCTTCCAATGTGAAAAATATACTCTTTTGTACTTAAGGCTGTTGAGTGCTCTGAAACGTGGTTTCAGAAGCACTTTTCCGCAAAAAGGTAACCTCCTCCACATATTTACTTCGTAATTCGTAAAAGCACTTCTGAAACCATGGTTTGGTTTCTATCCATCCCTTAATCTATGACTTAATTAAAAAATTAATATTTATCTTATATATAAGATCTAATCCATATGTTTATTATTATTTTTAAATTAACCCTATTGATGTTCCTTCAACAATAATTAAATAAGAGAAAAGAGAAATAATTAAGAAAAATAATTAAACGTTACAGAAAAAACACACAATGTTAAATAATTTAATTAGCATCATTAGTATATTCAATTTAGTTTATTAGGTTTTATATTAATATTTATGCAAGCATGTTGAAATTTTTTCAGAGAACAATTAAGATAAGGGTCGAGTCAAATCATTAGACGCGAAAGCCCGACCAGACTAAAAAATGAAGAGATAGAGCTGCGACAAGACCATGTTTGATAGTGGATGAAATGTATAGCATCAAACAGGGTGTGACCATTATATTCCGATTCCAACCTAATAATCCACATGCTGTGAATTGCATATGATTGTGGGCAATATGCAGCGGATTTTGTCGCAGCGTTGAGATGATCCATCTGCATGTGACTCGTCGAACTTACTGTTTAGAATAGCGTTGCTTCTGATTATAATGCCCCGACATGGATGTCCAATCAATGGATCGATCATAGATGATTATATATGACCACACACAACATTATCAATCGTAACATGCTTGCATAAATAATTTCACCTCTACTCTTCATTATAAGATTTTATTTGTAAACTATAAACGAGATCTTATGATTAAAATAAGATATTCCATTGAAATGTGGTGGGATAAAAAATGCTAGGCTATATCAGCTCTGTCAAGAAAGGTTAAGGGGGTGTTTGGTAACTTTTAAAAAAGTGTTTTAAAAAGTATTTTTCATAAAACAAAACAAATCCATCCATATATTTACTTTATAAACTATAAAAACATTTTTAAAATTATAATTTGGTTTATATCCAAATACTTTTTAAATACATAACTCATTCCCACTATATAACATCAGGTGATTAAATGGAGGGAAAAAGTTAGGGCGTCAGTGACAACTGACTCTCTAAAGATTAGTAAACATGGATAACTTTTATAATGCTCATGGAATGAGATCATGTGCGTTACAGGTAATGATGTATGGCTAGATATGACGCACTGAAAGGACTCCTAACTAGACCATCATCATCAATGGTCATTTCCGGACAACTTTTTGAATGTTAATCCATAAGTAAACGAAATATTCATATATAATATAAGTTACATATAATCTGTTCCGGTCAAAAAAAAAAAGAAAAAAAGTTACATATAATCTGTCATTTGGACATATTCCATTATTTATGCAAATTTAATAATGACAGATGAGGGGACTAATTCACTACTCCCTTCGTTTCTTATTATAAGAGACAAATAACCGAAGTACGTTGATAAAAAAAATAGTTAAAATTAGTTGAGAATAATTAATGTATAAAAAGTATAATTTTTTTCCAAAAATACCCTCATTAATAAGGAGAGAGCATGAGAGATAACAATTAATTTATTAAAAGAAAGAGAAGTGGGAGGGAGAGAGAGTGTGAGCTGGAGATAATAAATATGGGTAAAATAGTAAATCAACACAAAAAAATAGAGACAACTTGTAAGTGTCTCTTATATATAGAAACATGCCATAGTCATCTATAATAAGGAATGGAGGGAGTAGTTTATTAGTCAGTGGAGCTTCCGTCTGTACATAATATTCCAAAACACTTATGTGAGTTCATAGTCTAATAAATCAATTTATTCACAACAAGAACTCGTGAGATGATTAGAAAGGGAAAGAAGTAAGGAGTAAGCAATGGTTTAGGATTTATGTAAGCGGTGAGAATGTTGTGGTGGGCACTATAATGCAGTGATTTGAAACGGTGCAAGTGGAGAGGCGGAAGCTGCGAGGCAAACAGGGTACGGTGGGGCCCGCAATTAAGAGGGAGTAGATAAGTGACTGGCGTACCCCGAAGGGAGGGTCCCACATGATGTGAGGGGGTTCTGACTTCTGATTGGAGAACGAAGGCCCAAACGTGGTTGACTTGACTTTTTCCCTCTAAAATATAGGTATGGTAACGTTGAAGATAATTTTATTCGAGACACTGTCAGACGCTAAATATAGACATCTCTCCCAGTAGAGATTTGAATTTTGGTGTGTCACGTTATGAGAAATTAGTTTCTTCTGCTAGATCCAACCTTATTGGTGACTTGATACTGTTCTCTCCGTAAAAATGAGGAATGTTTCTGCCACATGCCCTGTCTAGCTGGGAATAAAAAGGCCCAATCGAATGAACCCTCTGTAAATCTCTCTCTCTCTGTTTTTGTTGTTGTTGTTGCCAACCTCACTCTCTCATTTCATTCATTTATCTGTAATATTTTTCTGTCCCCCAATCACCAATTATCCCTTTGCTTTTACATTGTTTTAGTTTTTGCGTGAATTTTGAGTTGACTGTCCTGTTTCACATGAATCTAAAAGAGCATTAGAAGCTAATCCTTGCTTAGCCAACGCATCAGCTAAAGGGACAAACCCCATTTAAAATTTTAAACGGATGTACCGATCCGCTAAATATATCCGACTCTTCTTGCCCTGATTTTGGGCCTTTACTTTTCTCTTTGGCTACTACAGGCCAGCCTATTACCTCACCTGGGCCCCCACAGATTTTCCCTGCCTATTTTCATTTTCTTTTTTGTTGCCAAATAACAAAAAACCTCTCAAAGTCATTTCCTTCGTAAAGTTCCTTCTTCCTCGCACGCTTCATGTTTATCACAGAAAAAGAAAGAAAAAGGTTATTTTCGCAAGTTTCGCCATGAAAACAGACATGTCCTTTAAACTCATAAACTGCACTTCAATATTTTACTTTGAAACCCAATTCTCTGCCCTTTTCCCCCCCTGCACTTGTGAATTTGTTTTATTATTTTTTTTAAAAGAAAAATCTGCACTCTTGACCAATGATGTTAAGCTTGAAACCTTGAGAGTCAGAAACAGAAAAGGAATATAGCAACGTACGACCAGTTCCCGATCACCATTCTTTTCCCTTTCCCTCTCCCACCGTGACTATTGGGTGCCACTTGAAGAACTCTACTTTAAGTTATACTCGAAACCTTAAATTCCAATGGCAAAATAGTCCCCCCCCCCCCCCCAAAAAAAATTTACAAGTGCCTTTTACGATCTCTTCTGCTCTTATTTATAATCATTTTACAAGGTTCAGAACCGAAATTAATTTTTTTTTCAAGGTATGCTTGATATATAAATATTATTGTGTAATTATGATAGAAGACTTCAGGATTATTAAGATTGTTATGATAATTTATTGCATTTAACTAAAAATCGTTTTTTGAGAAAAATAAAGCATTTTTATCTACACCAACTAATTCTAGTTAACTTTTTTTTTTAAACAAAAAAACTATGTGAACTAGTTAAATGTGTTTTATAAACGGGGAAAAATAGAAAAGGAGGGAGTGAATTTTCATTAAAATGCACTCATCCCGGATATTGCGTCTCATTAATTTAAGTGGTAATTGAGAGACCCCATAACAATCCACAAATGACTACAGTACAACCTCACAAACCCCGAAAACGTTTTTGAAAAAATAAGAGAAGTACAAAAATACCTCCTTAAATTGGGGGTCACACTTGCAAATATAGTTTTTTAAACATTTTAAAAACATAATCATGAAAATAAGTCTCTTTAACATTGCCATTGCTTTTAGATGTGAAAGTTTGAAACGTACCTGCGTAATATATGCTATGGAAAAGTTGGAAGCGCCGTGTGTAAAAGAAAATACTAGAGTCAAGAGTAAAACAGACAAAGCGCGAAACTTAAAGTTCCAAATTTAGAAGCTGAAGGTGACTTAGCAGCAGGTTTTTTTTTTTTTGGGGCTTCCACCAAACAAACCCTACTATATAACAGGTGGATATAGGACAACAGTAACAAGTGTGGAAAAGTGTAAACTTAAAGAATGATCAAAGAGGGTTGATACTGCGAACAAGTGAAGAGAGGTCAGGAGAAGTTAAGGGTTTGTGAAGGAAGAGATCGATGCCAGCTTTCATGAATTCTTCAAGTCTTGCTTCTTCGCTTCTTGCTGATACGCCTGCGATCTTGCTTCTGATCCCCATTGCTCGAAGACCCCTCGTCGCCTTCATTTTCCCCAACATGCAATAACAGATTCAAGAACCTACCCACACTTTAATTAATGATCCAAATCCAAAGATATAAGGGTTAGTCTGTTGCACACGTAATTACCTCGATGCCGTTCATGATGGGCATGTCCAAGTCCATGAGAATTAGATCAAAACTTCGGCCTGCTCTGTGAATGTTGATGGCTTCCTGGCCATTTTCGACAGTCTCGACGTTTGTCACTCCAACGCTGTTCAGCATTCTCTCATGGATCCTCCTCAGCATTTCTTGATCGTCAACAACCAGTGCCCTCAACTCTCTTCTTGGCGAAGAATTACCTTCCATTCTCTCTCTCTATCTCTCTCTCTCTACACACACACAATCATTATATATATGTTATATATATACGTACATACGTCGTACGGTGGTGTGTGAGTTAGTGTCTTGATGTACGTACGTGGGTGGCACTTGAAGAGGATAAAGGAATAAGGCTGTGGCTTGCACTGACCTGAACAGACAAGAACGAACTTGTTTCTTTAGAATCTCTTTGGACAGAGCAAAACCAGTGGAAGAGGATGAGGATGATGTGTGTATGATGAGAGGAGCTGGAAACACAAGGGATATATAGACACATAATAATGGGGCTCAAGAAAGGCGAAGGAAATTAAAGAAGAGCAAGAAATTAAAGAAGTGAGAGTACGATATATCAATATTGGATTTTGTGGGAAGGATCTTTGGATTTGGTTGAAAATCTGAATAAATCTGAGGGAGAGCGATGTTTTCCAGAAATGGGCTTATTCCTATCGTGAGTAAACTTAGAGGGCATCTTTCCCGTTTCGTATGAGGCAGCTAGACACGATATTTCAAGAATATATTTTTTGGGGTCCTTTTGATCCTTTTGCACGCAAATTAAACCACTAAATCAAAAATCTTTTTTTTTTTTTTACCTTCTTTTAAGCTTACCCTCATCTTCCCCTGGCCATCCATAGCTTCACACTCAAAACAGGCACACTTTTACCCTATTGCTTCACCTGCTTGTTTCGGTACTTTCATAACCTACGTGCTTGGTGCGTGCAAGCTATTTCACTTCCCATGCCTTTAATTTCAGTTTCCTTCTACTCTCATCTTTTCCAATTTAACTAAATTATACTTAATAATGTTCTTATTCCTTCAATAATGTCCTCGGGATCCGTCAGTGTTTGATTTTACACATTTTTTCCCTTAAAATAGTGTAATAAATGCAGTTAAATAAATTTTCTCTTAAAAATAACAACACACACACACATGCAACAAGTTAATTAATTCCCTTATATAGCACTAGAAAACAGGTTTTTACATTGAATAGTTGAAACCTAATAACTTACAGTCAATAATCTATCATTTCTGCAGTAATATAATATCTCCCTTAACATTTGAGACTAATTTCATTTAAGTATATAATGACATACATTGTGCAAAAAATTGATTTCATTGATAATATACTCTTCTTTATTTATTTTCACACACACACACACAAATGGACTCAAGTAGTTCCCTTCCTCTTTAATTTAATTCTAACATGGAAAATTTCTCTCTTCTGTGGAAAAACAATAGTTATTGTTACTTTACTTTTGTTAAAAAGTTATTCTTACTATATGCATTGAACCCATATAGCATCTTTTAATTATGAAAAATTTTCAGCCAGTGAGCTGTTCTTAATTTGTCAATATTGTTAAAAAGAAAATAATAAAGCTTAAGAGGCAACCAAAAAAAGGACATTCACTGTAATTACGCGATGTACAAGTCCTTATCCTTTCTTTATCAACAAATTAAAGCATGGTATGTTAATCGTCTAATATGCACCTCTCACCGCCTTCTCTTGTGTTCACACATGCACATGTACACAAAATTCTCTATCAAATGAAGTAATATCTGAACTATTAATTAAGATAATGTTAATCATCTAGAAGATTAACAAATTATAATTATATTAAATTTAAATGTAAGCTTTTAGTTTGGATTTAGGGTTAACTCATTGGAATGATAATCCAACGCTTCTTGTCAAACAATAATGCCCTCCACACCTGGTCGCCATAAATGACCTCAAAACACTTTTTCATTTTTGGATCACAACAAAAATGTACTAATCACCATCACAGGTCGGGAAAAAGTTCCAAATTCGAGTTCTTCCCAAGAACAGACTCTACATTTAGGTTTGAATATGGTATGGTTTAACCAAAAAAATAAAAAGAATTTGTACGTATTTTAATTGGTTCGTTGGAAAATTTACTGTTTTAAGTAGGAAAAAAGAAGGGTGAAATTTTCATAATTATGAAATGATTTAATCCATTACATCTTAAGAAATTCTAAAAAATATTTTTCTGCTGATATTCTTTTTGTATGACTAGTACATTGAGTACAGCCTATATGCATTCCAAATTGAGTCGAAATTCGATAAAATTAAATATGTCGCAGTTCAAATAAAGGGAAATTAATTAAAAAAATAGTTTATTTCTTTCTTCTGGATTCTCCTGAGCTTTTACATTGGCATCTTGCAAAATGCAAGCAGGAGCATTAAATTTTGCAGTGTGCTTTTGTGACCCGTGAACACATTGATCACTGATCAAATATAGGTGACTGTGTAATAGGTGACTATGTTTATCAATGTTGACAAATAATCTACGTTCTTACCAATTCCCATATTTTTGTTAAAAAGGATAAGGATTTTGGCAGACACATGACAGTATGATGTTTTTCTTTTAGAAACACAACTATTCCGCCATTAACCTTAGCATGACTGGCTAGAGCTGATTTTCGTATCATGATATCATCTTTTTGCTGCTCAGTGACTATATCTTGCTCCATATTCAACGTTCGTCAAAGTTTCACTTTGACGTGGTTGGTTAATTTTATCTTGATTCTCACAAAACCTAATATCTTTACAAGTTTAGACTTGCAGAATTTCAATTCCTTACCTAAAAAGTATAAAAGAGATCTTCATTTGACCCTGACGAGGGACACACTACTATCAATCTGGGGCACCCTGACCGAAGTTGATGAGAAGAACAATAACAAGGTAAAACTTTCAGAACTTGCAATGATGAGTCTTGATCATCTCTCGCGTACTCAAATGAATTCAATTTTACGAACTTTCACTCCAAAGTCCAAAGCCATTTCATACAAGGGAATATTTTTTCTCCATGTAAATTACAATTACTGGGCAGGACGTCCCCACCACCCAGCACTCTACAAATCCAACATTGGCAGGGAAAAAGGGAGTAAAAATATATGGAATGAAGAAAAACAAAACCAACCTGTAAAACTCATGCACACGATATACAGGAATACACAATAACCAAACAAGACAATATCTGAAACTGAAAATTTTTTTCCCTTGATGCTGCGAATCATTCGGTGGCGTCAATTGGCGTGCCTGTCCTGGCCTGTGAGATTCGATTTGCATAAATGGTGACCAACTTCAACTGCGTGCTATTAAGACCTTCGAGGTATGGCAAGAATGCTTTCCCGAGCATGATGTAAATATCCACTAGGCAGAACACAACTGTCTGTACCATCCAACGCGTAGCATATGCAGTGAGAATAATGTTAAAGACAATATATACACAGAGGGGAGAAGCGCACCAGAAAAATGCCGAAACTTACATGCAACATGAGTAAAACCAATCCCTCAATGCTCCCAGACAATAATATTTTTAGATAGAGACAACTTTATTTAATATCGACCTTGTGTATATTATTAGCAAGTCACCTTGAAGGGCCGCAAAAATTAAGAAGCTCAGTTTATGAACTTAAAAGGATCATAGAGACTCATAAAGCAGATGACTAGTCATATTTTTTCAACATCAAGGAAGATGCAAAGCACGTTTATGTGGCTCAAGTATACAGAACCACAATACGAAATAAACTTACTAGCACAAGTATAATCCTTGCATCCATCCCAATGAGGTTTCATAGTACACTTAAAACTAATTGAATTCCAATTCGCCATAACAACAAAACATTTAATGGTACTCCTTGATGACAGAGCTTTTTTTATCGCCTAATAGGATGTATAGAGGACCAAAAAAGACTGATTGCATACAGAGACCTAATACCTTACGAACATCTGCACTCTGATTTCCAAAAGCATCAAAAAGAGGAGGCAGAAAGGAGGGTAACTGAGCCATCAATTCCTCCCGAGAAAGCCGGCCAACAAGCTGAACACAGGAATAGCACGTGTCAAACAAAATAATTATCAATATGAAATGATGGAATTAGATTCAGATGGAATTTTTCATATGAAACTGTCACTTGGTGCAACTGCAATGCTGATAAAAGGTTGCCAGAAACAATTACCTTCGTCAAGCAATTTATGCAAGTAACAAGATTTTTCTCATCTTCAGTAACCAGTAAAGGGACGATTACCTGAATCGTTCCAAACTCAGCCATCAGCATGCACTTAACTAAGCAAGTCTTTCTTTCTCTCAAACACAAGGAATCCCATGAAAAGAAAAATTAAGGAATACATACACTTAAACATCTGAATGGATCACACTGAGACAAAACAGTAGTCAGGCAGTGATCAGCTTCATTTGAGACCTAAACAAAGAATTAAAGAGGCTGAGAATAAGAAAATTTTCAAGAAAGAAAATTTTAATGAAATAGCACCTTGGGAACAGTATCCTTTGTAACATGAAGCAGCTTTTCAATTACAATCTCAACGGACTCTTCCATGGCATCTTTCTGGGAGGAAAAAGAAACTTTCGTGTCAAATTGTCAGTCCCAAAAAATGCCCAAGAGCTAATGTGTACAGCTACAAGTATTGCAGGAATTTCACTTTTCACTGAGTAGCAACTACGGAAAATATCCTATCCTAATCAAAACAAAACACTCAAGCTAATCTTAATCACATAGAAATGTTATCCAAAAGATAACCAGAAGAACTATCAGGTCTTAAATTTTTTTTTTAAAAAAAAAAAATCGACAACATAATCAAAAATATATTTAGTTTCCAACCAGAATAATCAAGCAAGAGAACAGCACAGGACTAAAAAATTATATGAAAGAAATAAGAACCTGGTTTTTTAACATTTCAGCTACAACAGAGAGGGCAAGCTCTCTAACTGGGGAGTCTGAATCATCCAACACTTCAAGCACAACTGTCAGAATCTGATTGAAGAACTGCAAGATCACCAGGAAACTATCATTTCATCAAGTGAACAAATCCAAAATTATCGTTTGATGTGGTCAAACATAAGAAAACAGATTTTTTTTTTAACTGATTAAACATAAATATCTGTCAATCTACGTTCATGGCATCAAAAAGTTAGTAAAAAAATCACAAAATAGACAGACTAGCTCTTTCCTTCCAAAATAGTTACCGGAGATTTACATGAAACTTGGAGACAGGGAGGAGATCAGGTAATCAAATATCCAATCAATCAAGCGTACCTTTGTCCAAATAGAACGATCATTTTCTGTAGAGACTTCAATTAACTGTTGAAGTGCAGTCCGCTTGCTTGAAATGAGACTTCCATCACCCCCACAGCATATCTACCACAAAGCAACAGTTGCATATTATCAATAGACAAAAGCTAAAGCATATACGATCTATTACGTGCCTGTAGGCAATAATTAGCTTTTGTCCTCTGATATCTGCATTTTTTTCAGTGACGTTAGAATCTGGCTTGGCAGAGCCATAGCACACTAATTCAATGCTTTTGGTGAGTTTTGGATTAGACCCACCTGGTTAGATCACTTTCTTACCATTCTTTCCGGATTTTTAGAAAGGCAACCATACATAAGTTTTATGGAACTGCACTTTTTTCTGGTGTTTGGCATCTTTAGAAGAAGTTTAGTCCTGTTTCAGCCATTACATCTTTCATGGAAATTATTTTTTGGTATTTTCAGGAGGTTCCTTTATCTTTCTGCAAAGGCATACAGCCATTATTTAGTACTCATTAATTCTTTTCCCTGCTTTATTTTCCTACTCAACAATGTCCGCAGATTGGTAAATATTTATCTTCCCTCCTTGCACAGACTCTTAATAGATTCTAATTTCTAATCTAAAAATTTTACAACGTCAACTCATATTAATAGCATAACTAACCAGATGAAGAATTTGAGGAATGCCCGGCTCTGAATCATTCGAGTTATTCTTCACAGCTTCAGTTGAGTGATGATCAAGGTTCAACTCAGAAGGATCTTTTTCATGTCCAAAGCCTACATTTAAATTCAACTGTTCTAAGGACGTCCGACCAATAACATCCAGATGAGGAGTTGATAGACCCTCAAAGTCCATGCTACTATCTGAATGTCTGAGTTGACCATTATGAGAGCCAAAGTTTTGGTCCATTGAATTGACTGCATATTTTGAACCACGAATACCATTAGTAGAATCAGTTTCCTGATTCTGATAAGAATGTTCCTGATTTTCACCAGAGGCTGCTTGGTAAAAACTGGCTTTAACCAGAGTTGAATCATGGGAACTCCATTTCCTACCACCATCACCATCAAGCGAACCAGCAGAATACCTTCCAAGGTAGTTAGCTTTCCTAGAGAAACTAACATATCCATCTTCAGAGGATGTTCCAACCTCAGATGGATCATATGAAGACTTAGGGCGTTGTCGCTCCTTCTTGCTCTGCAAATAGCTCATTAGGTCCACTTCTATGCGAGGAGTATATTGTTTAAGGGCTCGTCTCAATGAATTTTGCTCTTCAACTGACAAACTAAGGATAAAATTCAGAAGTGCAGCTGAATCAAAGTGAGAGTACACTGATATAATGCACGTAATGGCTGCTTCTCTAAGTTTTGTATTTTTGTCATGAACCAAAGGTGTTAACTTGGCAAGCCATGATTTCAGAATGCCAGTATTGGCAGCACCCTCTGGATTCAGTGAATGCTTGCTGAAGGAACTGATTGCAAACTCAATAACAGCCAATTTTGCCTTAGGAGACCTTTGCTCATCAAGTGAACGTAGTAATGCGGGTAAAAGAGAATCTATACTGTAAGTTTTGCTAACGACTTCCAATGTCATTGAGCATGTTTGCCTGACAAGTTCTTTTGGGTCGATTAACCGAGAAAACACATGGGGTAATATTCTTTCCATGTAACTCTCAAAGGGCTTTCGGCATGCTGGAATAATATCTGCAAGTGTTGAAAGAGCAGCTTGAGCAACTTTATGGTGAGGATCGTCCAAGTGCTGAAAAAACAACTTCATCACCTTTTCAAAATTCTGGACCACTTCCTGAATACCCTTTGGACCTTGCTGTAACAGGGTGTGAAGATAATTAAAAGCAGCCACCCTAGCAGACCAGTTAGAACCTGAACTAAGCCCTTCACTCAGAGCTTCAGGGAGAGATACTGGTCCATCTGCATGATTTGACACCACTCCAAGAGAAAGTTGGCTATCATCAGAACTTCTCCTCCGGCCAGCAGAGATACGCCCTGCTACATTCTTTCTCACCAGTGGCCTCTGGAAACTAGGCACATAACTATTCTGTGAAACCCTAAAGCTTTCTTCTCTAAAAGGAGCATCCAAATACTGCCTATCAATCCGGTGGTTCATAGCCCACCTTGCCTCCCTATTGTCGCCATTGTCATCAATGGAATTTCTTTCTTGTGATCTTTCAAAAGCCCTTTTACTAGAGTATGATGGAATTGTTGATGAAGGCTCAATGCTAGCATTACCATTATATGATACCTTACTGGAGTTTTTGGAAGCTTGAATTTGTGAAATTATGTCAGACAGACCCAAGCCACCATTTCGGTTACTACCTTTATTGACACCAGATACAATTGATTCTGTTGTATAAGAGTTGGTCAGATTATTAGATGCTGGGACAGCAGCAGGGAATGGAGGATCACGAGATGATGGAGGGTCAACTCCTGCACTAGGGGCAATAAGATAAAAATTTAGCCATTCACAAATAGCTTCAAATTACACCAACAGCAAGATCAACCATATAATATAATCAAGGGAAAAAGATTGTTGACAGACAAAATTATTTGGTACCTAGATCCAAACTGGATGACCGGAGAGCAGAATTATGCTTATTAGACAAATCCAAGCCTCTGAGCATGCTTTCAATTGCAGTGACCTTCTGTTTGCTAGAATGTAACACACTTTCCAAACTACGTTCTGCTCCTTTACCAAGTGATTTTGCCTGGGAAAGAAGTAAACCAGACGAGACAGATATCCCTGAGGATAAACTTGAACTCCTGTCCATGGCGACAATAGCAGAAGTTCCATATCCAGGTAGCTTAGAAGAAGCAGATGTCTGGGTAGTTAATGACGCCAGTGCACCTCTGTCACGAATGGAAGGTGAAGCATGGCGCCTATGAACTCCTCCATCCTCTTCATTTATTAACTGCAAGTTACAATCGCTTTTAAAAAAATGGCTAAGCAACAAAATAAAGAACAAATAACACCTGATTTAACGGATATACCCTCTGAATAACTGGATCAAAGGATGAAAATAGGCGACGGGAACGTTCAGGCCATGTTTTTGCAAATAGTCTATAACACATCCGTGCAGTAGACCGTACCTATCAAGTACAAAATTGTAATTATTTTCACAGGATAAATGAACATGGTATCAATAAATACGAATGGCTGAAAACTCTCTGTCTAAATGACTAAATTTAGGTAAACAAAAAGGACAAGCTTTTAAAAAATAAGAATGATTACATTCTATATATTAACCTAACAGCAAATTATAAGAGAACCTCTCAGATATATTAGCAACCAAAATTGTACAATGAAAAATAAGGATCAAATAATTATGTCAATCTTTGGCCCAAAAAAAAAAAAAAGTATGTCAATCTATTCAACCAAAAGGAAAAAAAAGGATGATGATGATAAGCCCTCGTCCCTAAATTTAATATCAACTCGTAGACTAACAGATGCATGCATGTAAGACTAGTAACATGTAACAAATTGGGTTGATACTCACCCTAATGACCATGGTCACAAGAAAGCGTTGGGTTTCTACAAAACTAATTATAGCATTATTCATTGTTTCGTTGTTGAGTGATTCAAGTTAACAAATGTCTTTTGAAACCATCTGAAAGATCCAATTTCTTGTCTGATTATAAACCATAAAAGCAGCTTTGCCTATGCATTCAAAGATTTATTAGTAAATGCACTCAAATGTTTATACATAAAACTAACCCATTATTAGAACTTAGAAGGACTTCTAAATTTCCGCATCATTTCCACCATCCACCAACTTACATATTTTCCAAGAATTAAAAATTCTAACCAAAACCCTTGCTTTCACTATCCGCAACTTCAACTGCCAGACACCTACTAGGTTACAAGCTTATGCATAACAGCTACTTCATTATTGGTCCAGTTAGGAGAAAACGGAAGACTACAAGATTATTCAGGAAATTACCAATTACTGGCGTAAGTCATAAATTCTTAATGGCTCAGAAAGAAGAGCACGATAGAAAAGCATGTCAAAGCTAACATATATGATGAACCATTCATATCTAGCCAAACTTTAAATGACTTTAAACTATGAAAGCTACCTCACTCATTGCGTCTGAAACACAACACCTTATCAGATCCTCATATAAATCAGCTGATCGCTGTATTTCTGGTTCATCAGGCCATTGCTCCAATATCAAAAGAGCATACTCACAACACCTGCAACATGAAAGGCATAAATCAAAGACCAAAGGTCCCACATTTTTATCCCAGAGAGCAGGCAAGTCATACCTTGCACGAAGTACTGCACTGCGATCCTTTTTTGCACTATCAGCTATACAAGGAAGCACCCGGGCAACTTTGCAGTTACGCAACATCTGGAAAGTAGAGGACCAAGGTTAAAAACAGCATAACGCAGAGGGAGAAAGGCTGCAGAAAATTAAATAAGATTGCAATACCGTCTTTATGCAGTTATCTGCAGACTCAGCAATTACCAGTACAGTGATCACAACAAGCTTAAAAAGGATCTGATGCACAGATAAAAAGTGATTAATGATAAACACTGTTTGTTAGAGCACCATAATCACGCTAATCAAAGGAGAAAGTTAAACTTACAGGTATGAACATTTCAGCACAAACTTCAAAATCACCTAGGAGTTCTTTTGACAAAAAGCATAATAAATGGCAAGCCTAGAGCAAAAAAAAAATCAAATCAAAAAGAAAAAAAATATGTATCATAATAAGATTTTGACACACACACACACACACTTCCTTAAAAGGGAAAAAATCAATATGCAAAAAATATTATCAGAAAAGGAGATGTTAAGACACCTGCTTCACAATGCTAGACCTTCGATCTGATAATTGAGTGCTTAAAGGCCCCATAAGTTGCTTCAGGAGTCCTCGAAAACATGGATAGTTAGAAGCACCTAATAAGGAAAGTACTCAAAAGATGTCCAATATTTGTGACAATCACAAAAATAAATATATCTAATGAAGCACACAGATGAACAAAAGAAGTGCAATTATCGTTTGGAACTGCCACATAAACTCTGGTCCTTTTTGGAACTTGGACCATATAAAAAGTACCTCAATATACACTCCAAATTGATAGACAGGTGGCACTCGGTAAATTAGAAATTCTTGTACCCTATAAACACTTCTCTTTTACTTCTTATTGTTTGCCAAAGATCTTTCCTTTGATCATTTCCACAATTATTTCATTCCATAGTCAAGTTGACAAAAACTACTGCACTTCACTAGTTGAAGATAAAGATCACCATATGAGTTTTCTTCACACTGATCTCATCGCATCAGATATATTCTACAGTTGCAAGTTTCATCGCCCATCTAGACTTGGAATGCCCATTAGAAATCCCAATAAAGTAACTCTTATGATACCCAAGTGCAAGAACAGATACTATACATATGCTCATTGAACTGCATCATAAGCGTATGATACCACTCCTGAACATACTACTGTAAAGGAGATTTGGAATACCAACCTCCCAAAATAAGACCTTCAACTCTCTGCATAGCAGCAATACGAATTGACCAGTCCTTTTCTGGTACAAGGGTAGATGCAATCTTATCAATTTCCCTGATTAGCTCCTTCTCTGAGTACACCTTGATAGAATCTATGGGTTTCTCTGTGACATCGACGTTTCCTGCTCATAAATCATAATTGAATATAACGTAAGAGCAGTTTTTAGTAATGAAAGTATCCAAGCATAATAAATTTACCAAAGAACAGAAGCATGGGGTAGCAAGATGATCAGATTACACCTAATATATTAACAGGATAAAACTAGGAAATATCTTTGATGAAGGACTTCCCAGGCGATTCTCTCTTTCAATCATGTGATTTTTCTCCCTAATTTCATTATACTCCTATCACCATAACCATCTCATATTTTTACACATTTAGCAGCATCTCATGCCCCATTTTAATATTCCTCACTCAAGATGTGGAGAAGAAATTCTCTTTCATTTACCAACTAAAATTGGTCAGAACCCACGACCAAATGGATTCAAAGTAGGGATCCCAATGATTATCGAAGAAAAACATGCAGGATTATCCCAAGATAACATGAAAGCTCCACAGAAATTGGAGAAAAAAGTATAATTGTTGCACTCAGTGCTAGGTTAATGATATGAAACGAGGAAACTCAAACTTTGTAATGCCCCCCCCCCCCAAAAAAAAAAAAAGACCATCGCAACTGCCAAATAATAACAATAAGAATATAATGCAATTACAGAGTAAGTGTGACTGTGAGAGAGTTAGAATAAATAGTTTTAGTTATTCACATTTCCAGTGTTTTTATATTTATCCTATTCATCTATTCTTGCCAAGCGTTCATATATAATGTAGCATATGTTTATTTCTCTTATTTCTGATATGCTTCATGCCATAAGATCATATCACTGTGGATATCTATTCTTTAATACACACATATTCAAAGCTCCCTCGCTGTGATAGAGTTCGAGCCTTATTTGCATACATTCTCAAATCTTCCCTATTCTTCACTACTAAGAGAGATGGCAAATATATGGCTTAAGAAAGCAATACCTGAAATTTACATTATTAGTTTATTACCATACTAGAGCGGAAATACTAATGATCCAAGAATTACAGACAATCTAACCTGCAAAAATGGAGTTTTCCCTTGATGAACTCTTGGTTTTTGGGCTGCTTTTCTTGGAAGTAAGGCTTAAAGGTTTAATTTCTCCAGCAACAAAGCCACTGGGTATGCCATCAGAGGAATGTACTTTTGGTTGAATGCCCTCTAGCCTAGCATTAATATCTTTCACCTAAAACCATAGTAATTTAACCAAAAAAACAAAAATAGTGAACAGTCATACTTTTTGCAAGATAATGGAGAAGAGGATCAATAAGTCCAAATCATGTTGCGTGTGTTAAGTAACAACCATATCAGATAGTTGATTCTCTATTTAGTAATTACCAAAGAAGAAGGAAGGTTGTGGCGCTGAAGTTCATCACGAAATTGAGGACCAGCTTGTGCATACATCTCCTGGCAAGAGAAAATATTAAAAATTAAAAGCTAATCACATCAGCTTTTAATTTTATCAGTGATGGTCCATGTTTAACATAATTCAGGCATCAAATCACACCCTCTCAACTAGACCCACCACCATTATCCCACTTTTCAATCTTCAGAAGCAACGTGTTAAATGATACTATAAGGGACATAGGCATACATGGATTCATATAGAAAGAGCAACTTTCTGATATAAGCTGCAAACCGCGCACAACATTAGCACTTCTTTCTTTTTCTCCTTTTCCACACATAATCAAATCAACTATTAATATCCCCCACCCTGGCGGGTTTTTTCCCATGTTTATTCTTTTTTTTTTTTTGGTGAAAGAAAGTTTAAGTGAGTTAGGTCCTGGGAACTCACCAAAGGTAGGGCATGCCTCCAAACTTAGAAAGCATTTATAGAAGTACTTACAGATCGCCTACTAATAAGGTCCTCACATCAGCAATGAGATTCGAACTCAACCTTGTGAGTTATTAACCGACTCCCCAACTAGACCAACTCTTGTTGATTTTCCATGTTTATTCTATTTCACGCTAATTGATGTAAGCTTCATATGTATTCTACACCTTAAAACATGAAAAGACTGAAAAAGTGGGAAAGCTGACCTCAATGCACAAAATAGCTGCTTCCCTAACACCAGGATTTGGATCATTTAGCAACTGCAAAACCTGACAATTGATCAAAATGAAAAGGGTAAGTATCACATCCTAAAATAGTAAACCGTCTAATAATACTTGCTGCTCATTCCTATAAGTCAATAAACATACTGAAGGAAGAATAGCACGTTGAAGGGTAAGCTCAATTGATGCAAATAGACCAATTGCAGATGTGACCGTTCGAGCAAACTCCTCTCTAACTCTCCAGCTTCTGTGTGTCCAAGCAAAGAATCCTGCTCTTTCAACAATTATTGTAGGGGAAGAAACCTAAAGACCAAATGAAACCAATATCTCCAATTGAAAGAATATCTAAAGGTATCCAGAAAGCATCAGTTTCAAAACTGAAACGAAATAAGCCTAAAGTAGTAGTTAAAATTATTATTCATGTAACAAATTTCATGTACATTCTGATATACAAGAAAATACTACAAATCATGGATGCATTAGCCTTCAGGGTTTGCCCTAACAGAATGCTGACATTGACTCGAGAAACAACTATAGAAATAAATATATTCCAAACTTCATTTCACATAGATTTGTCAAAGTTCAACTATATCTGTTTGTTGGCAAAACACTCAGCAGTGAGCACAGAGTACCAAGTAAGAGTTTGCAACAGACCAAGCATAACCTTATTAACAATAAACTGTACTAATAGCTTCAAGCTCAAATTGTCAATCATTAGAGACCTATCTTTATCCATCAGTCATTTGAAAAAGAATGACTCACCTATTGCGATTTATATGTACAATATTGTTAACAAAACAAAGTGAATAACCACAAAATTTCATCAAATACCAGAAAAATCTCCTCCACCAAGGTAAAGATAATTTGCATGTGAGAGAGATCGAAAAGGATTAAAGCACGTAGACCAACATTAATTTATGAAATAATACGGGGACATGGACCACAAACATTCAGCTCATTGAAAATCACCAACAATGGTAATTGCCAACAAGCTTGCATGTGGCAAAGCTCACAAGCAGCACGATAAAATACTCTAAATTTTATATTTAGACGTTTTAAGACCATCAAAAGTGTACTCCCTCCGTCTTTTATTGTAAGATCTAATTTTTTGAATAAGTTTGTCCCTTTTTATAAGATTCCTTTCGAGTTTGTTTGAACATTTAATGCACTAAACCCTATTTTACCCTTAGTTTAATGCATTTACTATATTCTTTTTCTTCATTTACCTCACCATTACTCTCTCACATCTACCTATTTATATATAGGGGTATATTCGGAAAAAATCTACATTTGCTACATATTAATTGCTTTTAACTAATTTTAACTGTTTTTTTAAATCGTGTAATTTAGTTAAAAGGACCTTATAATAAGGGACAGAGTAGTAGACCACAATACTCGTTGGCTCATCATCACTTGATTAGGTTTCAGCTTCACTGGAACAAGATTAAATATAGGAGTTGGGAGAGCCACAATTTAAAATGCCACAACAGCAAATATCTAGAAAGTCATGATGAGAGAGCGGAAGATTCATTAAGAATTGCTAGGATGGCAGTATTCAGCCAAAAAGCTTCCTCTTCGTAGAATCAAAGTTTATTTCTACGCTTACCCAATTTCTTACCCTTAACTCTTGTTACTTACTCTATTGGCCATGGTCAAACTGTTGTTACTTAATATTTAAAAAGAATGCACCAATAAGAGATCCTTTTTCATTTTCTTTGCTTGGATTTTCTACTTTGCAGCAACTGACATGGCTTATGAACTTGTAAGAACTTATAAAATAGCTTGTATTTTGACACTACAAGAGGACTGGAATCATCAGGATGGGATTGAACATTGAAGTGCCCATCTTTCGGGAGATATGAGATGGGAGCTGTAGCTTGCCAGCACGTTGAATGCTGGTGTTACGGTCCTTTTACCGTTGTACCAAGCACATCTATTCGCATTAGGTACCTCAGATATAGAATAATCCATATGATTGGATAAAGACGGCAGTGTGCCCACTTGCCTCTAAATTTTCTAACTTATCCGGTAAATGCTCGGTGCATCGAATGCATGTATCACTGTAAGTCCAAAAAGATGCATAAAATTATTTCACTCTAGGAATTGCCACACTAAAACTTCGAGCTCAACTAGGATTAAAGTTCTTTAAGCATGCAGCGATAGGGAGTAAGCAGGCAGCGATGATGATAAAACAAAGATAAGTACCTCCATAAGAGTTAGCAAGAGTCTTCTAGCGGCGTCACGAACTGGCTGTTTGCCATCGCCTAGGCGGTCAACGACGGCGGGAAAAAGCGCATCGAAATGAAGTTTGAAATGATCGCCGGATAGAACGGCGGCAGAGGCCAAAGCTTGAAGAGCACCCTCAGAGACCCTGAAGTTGTTATCTTTCAAAAGATCCAAGCAACAGTCAACAAGGGAAGTAACCTCAGATAAAGTAAGGCTCTTTCTCGAAGCTTCCAATAGTTGATAAAGGCGCTCCACACCGGCCATCCTCTCCTTAGTGTCCTTGGAGCGCGCAAGCTCCAGCACTTGCTCCATTGCTGAATTCCAGAGAGAGGTTGGATCTGGCGGAGTGAGTTCAGATCTAGATGAAGGGTTAATGGATTCGATGTCGACTCAGGATGTAGGGAGTGGCATACTGAGAGAATGCAAGAGCAAAACAGAGTGAAAAAAGGGCAAACAGGAGTGAGAGAATGAGAGGACGGGGCTTGAACTTGAAGAACGAGAGTGTGTGGGTGGGTGCTATGAAAGGAAAATGTAGGAAGAGACTCAGAGAGAGAGAGGGGGGGGGGGGAGGGAGGGGGAGGTGACGAGTAGTACCGCGAAGTGCAGAGGAGCCGTCAAATTCGAAGAGGTTTTCGGGGGAGAGAGCGCGTCACAGTCGGGGGGGGGGGGTGATGGCGACTGGCGAGAGAGAGAGAGTCTCAGAGAGATGACAGGGCAAAATCGACGGGCAAGAGAAGACGATGATGGAATGAGACGTTGAAGATTTAACCATTCTTTTGCGCCAAATTTACGAGGTATACCACTGTTCGCTCCTCAACGCCCCTTGCAGTCAAAGACTCGAGAAATAAAAATGTGGAAATCTATGTTTGAAAAAAAAGTTTATAAAATAATTCTATATTTTTCAGGAAATAATTTTAATTTTTACATCACATTCAGAACATCATTTGGAAAAAAAAAAAGCTGAGATTATTTTTGGCCAACCCAACCAAAACCGTGTGTCGTATATACGGTGCCTTCACCATGTATATTGTAGCGGTGGAACAACTCGGATCACTCTTGAAAGAATAGCTTCTGAAGAATAGATTTTGTGAAAAAATTATTATAATAAAATAAGAGTGTTTGGATAGTTGTTATCAGAATCATTTTTTATATATACAAATTACTAAAAAAGAAACAAGTTAATATGATAATTATATAAAACATAGATTTTATAATATATTTTAATTTGAAAGAGTAAAATTGTTAATAATATATTTTTTACTAACATAATTAATAATACATAAGATAATGTAATTAATAAATCATTAATGTGTGTGTATATTTATAAGATATAAGATTAAATATGTTTATAAAAAATAATTGAGGGGTGTTAAAGTCATATTATTGTTAAGATCTACTCTAAGAGACACAATCATACTTTCCAATTTGAATCAGAAACTGAATGAATTCACTTCTCTTGAAACTATGATTTTGGTTCAAATCATGGTTTCAAATTATTTCTTGTTGTTTGGCTCACTCTTTTCCCAAACCATGGTCTGGAATGATACCCAAACACCCCTAAGTTGAATTTTCATTTAAAAGAAACCATTGTTCATCGTTGTAGTAATGTCTATCATTATTTTTTTTCCGACTTTGGCCAGACAAAAATGTCTCTATCTACTGGTTAAAAAAAAAAATGTCTCTGTCTGTACGTTCTAAATACATCGTCCAGAGAAGGAACCAAAGTACTGGCCAACGTTCTGACTTGGCAAGTGCTTTTGGTTCATTGAAGATTCAGAGTCCCCTCATTATTATTCTCTCGTACTCTTCTCATCCCTCGTTAAAGTTTATGGGGCCTCCAAATAAGAATTTCATCGGAAACACCTTGTTTCACGTTCCAAATTTTAATAAAATTTCATAATTTTAGTTAAAGCACTGCAAAATCAAGCGCACAAACTAGTGATAAATCATTTTCGTCTCCATAGGAATTCACATCATACACTTCTCTGAATTTATGCACTTGGGTCGCAGAATTATAAGCCTTTCGATTACATTACATGCCCCAAAAAAAAAATACAAAATAAAAACAGTTATGGGGTTGGGGAACAGAGACTGTTTTTTGTGGCTATAGCCGACATCCAATCACCAACAAAATTTGATTATACAGTCTCACCTAATTCTCTGAACTGAAATTTTAACCCCAACGCGGGTACATTGAACTGAAATATCCAGAACTTAACATTGGAATTGGATTCCCCTAAATGACCAGAGCTTCACGTCAAATCATTAACTGGGTTAATAACAATTAAAAAAAAAAAGTCCTGTAGTGATGGATATTCCACAAGCAATCGTTTGTAGTTTGAGATTAGAGCCTGATTGCACACAAAGAAACGTTCCGTAGTTTCCAGCACGTTTAATTCATCAGAATGCTTTCGTATTAATTGCCAGAACCGAAAGCATAGTGACTTGCCTTCAAGCCTGAAATGGATAGAGATAATAACGACGGTTAACTAATTAAGCATGGAATCCCTTGATTATCTTTGCTCGAGTCATGCGGGTTTGTTGAACAGAGCTTTTGATGAGACTAAACTTGAAAGCAAAATTTTTCTATGGAGCGTAGACTTGAAATTAAGGTAAGTTAATCGTAGTAATTAATTTATGGATCATTCTATAATAAACTGGCTGTAGTTTCCCGCATTACTTGGACAATTTCGTACAGATCACCCCCCTAATTAGAAGTCGAGATAATTGAAAGAAGTTTTTGGTTTTTTGGTAAATAATTATAAGAAGTTGTCGCTGCTGTTTATTTCATTTATTTATTTAAGGCTATCATTTAACTTTAAATCACTACTATCATTTCCAAAAATAATGATGGTCCCAGGACATTTTGCATATCCAAGTAATGATGAAGGCTAAGCTTAAAAATGCAAACGAGATGAGTTAATCAATAGCTTTAAATTGTTCGTTCACGGGTCCTTCACAAGCATTATTGCTTTGTTATATGGTTTGGTCCACCTTGTTTTGCGATTAGATGGGACACGAAAAATATAGCGTAATTTCACGACAAAGCCTAATCAACAACCCTGGACAAAAGCTCAACATAAACAAATGAAGGAGGAAACAGTTGTCCCCTTCTGCTTTTGCTTCATCACGTCAGGTTCCTTTTCATATGAAAATACCATGCAAGTCCAATTAAGTGGATGATGAGAAATTTGGGATGAGTCCCAGTCTGGAAATTTGAGATATTTCGAATTTAATTCTTCTTTTTTTCTCCTACACTAAAAAACAAGTCAGAAACATTCAAAGGCATCATCAAAATACTACTTGCATACTTAGATAATTTCATCTAACTTTAACCAAAAGAACCACAAGAATTATTATATAAAATTATGAGCAGTAACATCATTCCAATCCGTTATATTCGATGAGCCAATTCTGTCCATCTCTTTATGGGTAGGATTAGATATCTTGTCTGTTTCCATCTTTTCTATCACCATCCACCATGATTTAGATTGTTATGACACAACATATTTGTCTGTGTAGTAGCGCATTATCTAATCAAAAGGTTCATTGAAAATATGATACACTACGGAGAAAAAGCGATCTCATTTAGTCAAAACAAAAGACAACAGATCTGCTCAAGATTGAAATCCACATAATAAAATTGCTTCAAACTTTGTCGTATATTTTGCAGGCAATATACAAGAAATAGTGTCAACATGCATTGTGATCCAGGAAGTAGAAGAAGAACATGCCTTGTAACCTGAATTCAGAGCATGTGAGATCTGTTGTCTAGGGATCATCGTCATAGGGTGCAACTAACGCTGACGATGATGGAAGAATCAAGATATGCTTTCCATTACGTACAAACTCAGCATGAAGTGAAGCATGATCCGGCTCATACTTCCAAATATGTCCCGAAAGGTCCAAATGTTCAAGATTACCTAAAGCATAAGACACAAATCTGAAGGTGACAGGCAGAATTCAACGCAAAAAGACAATTTCCAAACTACCTCCCAATCAGATCAAGTGATTAGTGTGTAATAGCGTGAGGATATCCGAATTCTATTTCAAACTTTTTAGCAGCGGTGGTATTTTCTGATTTAACTAGCATTTTAACAGGTTTTAAGCAATGCAATAATGCACACATGGGGCAATTCATATGACAGAGGGCACAAGTTTTGTAAACATGCCTGCTATTGCTATGGCTGGGACGTTAAATTACATTTTATTTTCAAGCTATAATCACTAAGTTGCAATTGCAAACTTAGACTTGCAAGCTTACATATTCAATAAATATGTGCTTAAAATCAGTTGGATATGTCAAGGCCCCAAAAGGTGGAAAAAATAAAATCAGTCGGATATGTCAGGTATAGTCCAGATTCCAATGAAAACCTGAAGTCCACGTGGCAATCAGATGATGGATTGGATGAAACCAGGTTGAAAGATGAGTTAGATTAGATATTTATGGTGACTATAATACATTGCCATTAGTATCCCAGTGATTACAAATGGGAGTTCAGCAGCCATGTTGTAGCAACTAATCAACTTAATGATCGAGAGGACATAAATTACAAGAAACAGTTACAATAGAAATACCTCTTGCAAGTCTCAATGCAGCGCAAATGATGGTCAAGCATTCTGTTGGCATAAGATTCATTGCAGCATTCACTTTGGTTAGTTGAGGAGCGTGTGACAAGAGCTTTGTTAAAAACATAGCGGTTTCAATCCCACCACGGTTTTTGCTGAACAAATAGACTAACGTGTCATTTTCTTCCATAAGCTAAATCAGACAACAGAGGAAACAGAATTTAATGCATAACTCCAAACCTTATATTAATTTTCACAAGCTCAAGCTCTCCCTTCATTAGGTCTCGAAGCTTTTGAAAACCAGATGGACCCAATCCAATGCCTCCAACATTAAGTGCTTTAACACATGTGCTGATATATTTTGCTAAAGCCCCCGCTACTTCACTAAATGCCAAAAATCAATTAAAACAAAAATAGAGAGAGGGTTTGAGTAATAATAAGAGAATTTGCTTGCCTGCAAACGAACCTTCCTAGGAAATTGTCAGCAACAGAAAGTGACTTCAATCGTCCTTCAAAGGTAGAAATGGCAGGAAGAAGATGACTCACACCGTCACAGGACAGCTCACAGTTCTCCAATTTCAAATCAGCCAAGGAAGAGCGTGATTCATATGCTTTGTCGAAAAAGGGAATCAAACTCCTGCAAGATTGATAAAAGAAAGTGAGAGACCAAAAATATCTTTAAAGTATATACAACTAGATAACAAAAACACAATTTACATGACTCCTTCATCCTCAATGGGATTGTCACTTAAATCCAGATCCTCCAAGTTCGGCATTTGAGTGAGAGCACATCTAAGACTTTCAATATCATCTTTCCGTAAATTATTTCCCCTGCAACCAAATTAGAAATTTCATGTTCATCAAGTATGGATTAAAACTGGAGAGCAGCTGTTGTAATTTTATTGCCTATGTCCTACAGCAGCTCACGTAACACTTATAAAAATGGAACTGATGCCATGCAACATACATGAACAAGAAGAATTTTATAGAAACCTTCATTCATCTTCAGTAACAAGTCAGCTGTTCACCACAGCCAATAGAAACTGGTAACAGAAGAATTCCCATATCAAACCGAAAGAACGAAATTACATTTTAGAAGGGTGCTACCTGAGATTGAGTACGCGCAGCAGTTGCAAGGACTTCCCAGTTCCAAAAGATGGATAGGAGTCACTCAAAGGCCTCCGTTTAAAGTCAGAGAGCCATCCTGCAATCTACAAGTTTGTGAAACTTCACAGCAGGTTGATATTAATAAGTCAAAACACAAAAATATTAGGATGAAAAACTCACATTATTATCAGAAAGGTCAAGGATGGATATGCTAGAAGAAAGATTAAGAAGAGTAAGAAAAAGAGCTCTTGCAAAATTCCGGCCAAGGTTGTTGTCAGAGAATTTTAATGAGCATAATGACCTGACAGTCACAGAAGCATTTAAAAAAAATTACCAGAGAGAAAAATTTACCAATTTTTTCCAATCACATCAGATTTTGCGTAGTGAAACTTAGTAGACTTCTTGTAATCAATTGAGACTTAGACTAAGCAATAACCCGTTTTAGAGAAAAACAATTGCCAATACAAACCTTGCTGAAGACAGAAAAGACACAAGTCCACTAGGCAATGAAATTGTTCCTGATTCCCGAAAGCTTGATGAATTGATGGAGAAGTGCTGTAACCCATGTCTTTGGACACCATTCAAAGCTAGAGCACCACATATTGCATTAACAGAATCTGAGGAGAGTGAGCAGTGAACAAATTCCAGCGATGATAATGTTTTACTATGTCGAGTGAGAAGTTTGCATAATCCATCAATCTGTGAAATGGTGTGTATGAAAACATCAATCCCAAGGTAACAAGTGGGCAATAAACCCATAAAGAGAAACATAGAATCTATTATATTTGCTAAGTATAACATAATTAACACATCAAAAGAGGAGGTGCTTCAGCGCATGGCGTGAAAATTGAAGCTTTCAACTCTTTTCTGCTTTGACAATCTACATCCTCAATAGGCCCCCATATATATAAGTCATCAAGATGGATTACAGTGAGAAAGGATAAAATTTACAAAAAAAAAAGAAGAAGAAAACAAGTGAACCCAATGCAGTTAACTAGTTGTAAGCTAACTACTCTATTCATATTAAGCCCAGCCAATCTTATTTAATTGTTGGCAGTATTACGAGATGAGCAAAACTGAAACAAAAAATTGATCATTTAAGTGGGCATTGTGCATATATTACATCCATTATACATAAGAAGCAAACTTACTTGATCTTTGGATCTGATGCACCTTAGTGTGACTTGTTGCAGCTTGCATTCTCTCAACAAATTCTACAAATCACAACGCATGAATACGTTCAGCTCATATAATAAAGGTACAAGCAATAAATTGAAGACCTCATCTCCATCATTTGTGTGTTTTCTAACAAGTAAAATGCAGGAAAGGATGTTTCTCTTTTCATTGAAAAATTTGGCATAACCATTTGCCAAAATAATGTCTACAACTCCAAGAAGATGAATACCAAAGAGAACGTAGACTGAGGAATGAATAAATTTCAAGCTAGATTAAAAAAAAAAAAAATACAAGGACCAAACTTCAGAAGAGCATGTTGATTTGATAAAAACAATATTTTTCATGAAATTCTAGAAAACACCACTTACACTAGTTTCTGCAGTACATAAAACATTTTGAAGCCTCAGATATCTGCATCAATACAAATACAAAGTAACATAAGAAACAAAAGACTCATTCAATAAAGCATGCGGTAATACATAACATCCCCTCCAAAACAGTTATAATCATGAAGGATTATCACTGCATAGTGCAGACAAAGACCAACTTTAACCCTCAATTATGGTACAGTGGACGTTAGTTAGTAAACCGGGCCCAAACTGACTAACTATTCAAGATGTGAGCAGAAAGTATTCCATCCAAGAACACATATGAAACACATGGCTCTATCATTTCATTCATTAGTCTTGTTAAATAACAAGCTATCTGGTCCCTCAAGTTTCAAACCACAAGTTTTGGTCCCTGTAAGAGCAAAATGGTGCAAGTTTTTATTAGATTACATGGACTAATGTTTTAAATGAAAAGCAACTTGAGAGACCAAAACCTATGATTTGAAACTTAAAAGACCAAAACCAAAATAAAAGTAAACTTAAAGGACCAAAATTTATATTAACCCTTTCAAAAAAGAGACACCCCTTTATGAGTTATAATACACAATAACATTGTAACATCTTACCTTGCATAGTGGCCAAATTGTTGACAATGGTATGAAAGTTTTGCATGGTCAAAAGTTGAATGATCAGGATGTCCCAAAATACCGACATGTTTCAATATGATCTCTGCAAGGAAGAGGGGTAGAAGGTGAAAAGCTAAGGCATGAAAGAAGCAGGAATATACAAAGGTTGTAAATGCTACTAGAGCAGATTATAAGAAACTTGATTTTCTTAAAAGCTCAATTCTCAGGAAATCACATGATAGATATACATTATTTACAAAAGTAAAACTTGAAAGATTGGTGCAAAATGGAAAGTGGAGCAATTCCAAAAAGCTTTCAATGACGCAATCACTTTTTTTGTCGTTACTCCAGGTCATCCTAGACTTTTATCGATTTCTAAAGGATTATAGATATCTTTTCAGGTTAAAAAAATAAATAAATTTATGTCCTCACTCCTCACAAATAGAAATAATAGCAGCCAATAATATCATTTCAGGTGAAATTTAATATTGTGTATCACCAGTGAACACTGAAGAGATCAATGACTGAGGTCAAGCTAGAAGGAAATTAAACACAAATTTGAGCGAGTGAGTGTCAGAGGGGGCAACTTATCATAATACCAGGGATCAGTACGTCACCAATATATCCTTTAAAAGATGGGACTAGTGCCATTTCTGCTGCTTCATCGAGACAGCTGTTATTTCATGTAGATTTTAGAAAATGAGTTCTGAATGACGCCATCGTCATATGATTAGCAATTCAGCATTAAAAAAAGGCGTATTTCATTACTTTTGCAAGTGTGTCTCCCAATATGCTTGCTGCCAGTCAGTTGGTTGGGTCTGCTCAGCAAGATCAGGCCATCGTAACTTAAAGAACACCTGCCAAGCATTATCTATATTCCCATCCCTGTAATAACAAGATTCCTTGCATATAAAGAAAAATACTTTCAAATGTTACATGCACCAATGAGGAGTATAAAATATATTCCTACCTTCCACGTTTTCTCTTGTTTGTTGAGTGATCGATAGAATACCCCTCCGATTGTTGACCATCAAGTGGCCTGTTTCAATAAGAATATGACCGTGACCCAACCGGTATGAGAAACTGAGAGTACATAAAGGAACCAACAATAGTTGTTAAGAGTTTAATTCCAAAAATCATGAGGAGAGACATGAAAACTTTAGCATTGACAATAGCATCATCAATGCCATTGATAAATTTTCATGGGTACGCACGCAACACGATGCGCAAGACAAAACTAAAATATAGTCAGTGCATAAAATGACACAATCCTCTGCAAGAAGGAGCTTATCTTCAAAATTTTTGTATATGTATAGACCAGGTAGATAAACAGCGGTTTGCAATGTCGAATAAAGAAGTCTAAAACAAGCCAGCTAATACAACATAGTAAGAACTAATTAGACCGCTGGATGATTGGGTATATACGTATCGAGAAAAATGAACATAATATTTGTAGTCAATGTGAGAACTCAACATACATTTCATTCTGCAACTTCCACAATCCGAAGGGAGGCAAACACATAATTAGGGCGTGCAACAACTCAGAAGGGAGTAAATAGACAGGTGGTAGAACACCATCCCCTGCAATCATTTTGCACTATTTTTTAAAACTTCCCGACTTTAAACGATCAAATCAAAATGCTAAACATTTTTTCATCCAGGAGAAATATGAAAAAGATAGCATAATTATAGAAAAGCACTAGCCTTGGATGATCTCTTTCTTGAGGACGTCCAAGCACAGAGATACCAAAGATGGAACCTCTACCATTTCAACAATCAGTAATACAATGAATACCCCGTGCAAGTATCCGATTAGTACGCGCGCGCCCTGATGTCAGTAATAACCGTAAATTAGGGGGGAAATAAAGGCATAAAGCTCTGCAAATCAACACGAACACAATGTAACGCATGCGGATGAAAGGAAATAACACTAGAGCCAGGGGGTTAGTGATGGTTACTCTGCCTGCGACAGGGAGTCAAATTACTGTCATTTCCTCTTCAGCTCTAAACCGCGAAGAGTAATATTTCCTGTCGGCAAGAACCGCGAAGATGAACCATGTCTTTTTTTTTTTTTTTTTGCCCGGGGGGGGGGGGTTTGGTTTTGCAAAAGGTCAAAAAAAACAGTAAGGGCGCACATTTTCTCGAAAAAAATTTCACCCTTTTTCATTAAACAAATGGTACTCACTTTGATCTCACTGTAACAGGTTTCATAGAAGCTTTTTGGTTGTACAAAAGAATATTTGAATGGAAACAAATTATAATTTTAAAAATAATTTTACAGTATATAAAATAAATACATGAGGAAAATTTTGTTTCAATTTATATGAAAATATTTTGTTAAGTGTTTTTAAGGATTAACAAACACCCCTGAGTTAGATGATGTGTTGCTGTAATGCTGTTATTTAATGGTTGAATATTTTTATTTCTAAGTCTTTTTGACAAGCCCTTTGAAAGCTGTGAGAATTATGCCTTCATCTTGTAATTTACAGAGATGTGAATGGGATATTGAGCTATTTTTTACAATCTTCCCCATATAATAGTTGACTTTTTTGAGAATGCATAATTTAATTAAAAATATCTTACAGCAAGTCCAGTGAGATGGAGCAAAAGAGGGAGAAGAAGCAAAAATGCACAATGGTATAGGAAAAGAGGAAGAAGAAGCAGAAGAACAAGCAGCACAAGATCCCAATCTCACATGCTTCATACAGAAGCAATATAGCAGGCTTCCCGAATAAAACTATGCCCTCTAGAAAACCATAATAACATGTTCTTCATTATTTTTTTAAATTTTTCTTAGTTTATGAACTAAATTTTTAAACCATAATTTCAATTTATCAATAAAACGACACTTTACAATAAATTAGAAAATAACTTTTGGGATGATTCATATTAAAAATTGTCAGAAAATTTCACTACCACACAAAAGGAATAAATATTTTTCCGATAAAAAAGACTATAATTTTAATTTATCTGAATTAATTTTTAATGTTATTAAAATTGTATAATTTCTCACTTTTATTTGGTATTTAATTGTAATAATTTTTGTTGTCATCTTAATTTAATAAAAAGTTATAATTATATTTATTTTTATAAAATCATATTCATACTATGCCCTCACAAACTCATATTTTTGGGCCCGCCTCCCACGCCAGATACGGATAAAGGTGAATAAAATTCTTGAAATTATTCGGGAAACTCAAAAACAGTCGGAATGTAATATTTGTTTTTTTCCGGAAGGGAAAACTACGAAACCAATCTGGCCATTCGATTATCTGAAGAAATTCTTGTCGAGGGAATCGTCCATGAGATAAGGTCGGTGTTTTCCCTCCAAATCGCTGAAGACCCAGACGCCGAACCATGCGTCGCAATTGTTGCCATGCGTTCTTAGCTTTCCTTCTTAAATTCTTAAATTTTCTTCATGCTTTCGTGGGGGTTTCAATTCTCCTCTACTCGATATGGATGATCAATCAATGGAACCATCACATTCCTGTTCAACCTTCGCCGGCTAGTTCTCCAACTTCTTCCTCCCCATCTATCTCCTCTAATTCTCGCCCCAACTGGGGTTCTGCACAATTCACCCCTTTAAATCTTGCCGCCGACACGGTTTCCAGATTCGATGGTGGACTTCTCCTCGATTTCAGTTCCTGCAAGCTTCCCACACCTTGGTAACTTTTGCAGATCGTCTATTGTCCCCTTCTTAATTATTTGAATTGAGAGAATCAAATACTGAGATTTAGTTTTATGATTCGGGACCATATGCAAGTGGCAGGACAGAACTAAGCTTAATTGTTATTTTTTCTGATTATTCTTTATTGCCATTTTACTGGAGGATAGGGTATTATCTCGTATAATATGATTAGTATATAATTGAATGAGTTTAAAAATGGAAGGATTAAAAGCGAGTGATGTATGGATGCATGTATGGTCCCTTGATAGAGTATCTATTTGCACACCTCCTCCACCTCTCTAATTTTCATGTATCTTTAAGTCATCATTAATCTGCTATTATTCAGTGAGGATCTTAAATTCTTAATATTTGGTGGTTATTAATGCAATTTTCTTTTTTCAATTTTTCCGTGTATCCATTGCCGGCAGGTTCATCTACTCTTTTATGGGGTTGGGTATAGTGTTGTGCTGCATTACTTTCTTGGGTTGCATTGCAGCTGAAGTTATTCATAGTTGCTGCTTGTGCTTTGTATCCCACTCAAAGTGAAATTATTTGTTTTCCCGTTTCAGTTTGGTTTAGAATTGATTCTCATTTTACTCTGAAAGATATTTTATGTGCAATCCTTAGATGTTTCATTTTCAGTTATTTAATCTTCATTCCCAGTTTATTCCTTGACTTTCTCCACTGCCAGTACACGATACTCATTTCAGTAGTCCTCTTACTAGAGGCTGCTCTGGTGGGACTCATTGCAATTGACCATCACTGGGAAGAGGTTCTTTCTTTCTTTCCCCACTCACGTTAACATGTTAACTCCATCTAACAGTTGTATCCCTTCGTAAACTTTAAAATATGTAAATTCTTGCCATTACAGGATTTTCCATATGATCCAACTGGTGAACTTGATAGCCTTCGGGCATTCATTGCAGATAATATAGATATATGTAAATGGATTGGCCTTGCCGTGCTTATAATCCAGGTATATTCTGCTGCAATTTTGGTGACGGGCTCTGGCTATCTTTCATGACTTATCCATGATAAATGAATAAATTACATACACTAGCCCCTTCATGTTCATGTGCAGTATATTCTGTCCTCATCTTCTGAGTTGGGGATTTTTCACCCAGCATTCATAGAAATCTGGAATTGTTTGAATTGTTCAAATTCAAAGGCCTTTCTGCATGTTACTGGAAGTTTATATCTGGTCAATCATAGGGTTTAGGATGAAGGAGATCTTATCAGGTAGAGCGTATGATTCAAATGGATGTCTGTGGTTCCATCCTCACATAGATTTTAGTTCATTTGTTTTTTTATGCACTGGATGTGTGCGCCAAATCAGCTAGATTGGTTATGATTGCCTCTATTCCTTGGCATCAGAATCTCGCATATAGTCAAATTTGTAGAGCCTCATAAAATGCCATCATGGAGTCCCTTGTGTAAATTGATTTTAGCAATTGCCTATGTTCCATTATTCTAATTGCTCACTTGTCTGGCGTTAACCTCAGGCTTTATCTCTTCTACTGGCATTAATTCTGCGAGCCACAATTTCTCCTCAGAAAGCAGATTTTGATAATGAGGATGACTATGATGTTGGTGGTAGGAACTGGGAACCCCAACTGAATCATCCATCTGGCCAGCCATCTGGATCTACCAAGAGTCAAAACAAAGGAATCATCTCAAACATCTGGAACTCACGGCTAAGAGATAAGGTATGCTGGTGAGACATGTAGTATTAATTAATTTTAATTAATTATATGAATTCAAATCATCACAATAATATTAAGTGTATCTGTTGTAATGAAATGGTTACTTTATAGTTCACTTGAACACTTTGAATTGATTAGGAACAAAACCAGTGATTATGTTCTACCAATATTTCTAAGAATTGGAGCGCAGATATAATCCTTCTGTTGTGACCCTAAACACCCACCTATCTATGGACTTATGGAATAAAAACATCTGGAGTAGTTTCTTCCATATTTATTCTTGGAAGGCATACCTGTGTAATAGAAGATGACCTTGATCTTGCTGCCTCGTTACTCTAGTGTCTAGGCCTTGCAAACAATTAGTTATTAGTCAATACTTGTAAAAACTACGACTGAGCTTTGCTGATACTGTTGGTTATTGCAGTCCCCTTTTGCCTTTTTGTTAATATACACTTGATTGATTGCTTCAATTATGCAGTATGGATTAAACTCTGGTGACAAGTACAGCTTACCAGTTCAGAACTCCTTACTGGGCAGTAATTCCAGGCAGTGAGATCTCTTCAGGCCCACGAGCAATTCTGTATCATATGTATATGCGTATATCTTTGGTTTCAGCATTTTCTTTTCAGTTGTCTCATTTGTATTTTAGAAAATCTACATGCATAAATGTATTTTATCGCCACTTCCTTTTGACCCCCCACCGCGGGGCCCTTAATAAGTATCAGAATGTTGTGTATAGAATCAGAATTCGGCCATTCAGCACCTCTCACATACATATTCATTTATAGACTTAGATACTTCTACTGCCTGAAAATCAAGTTCTGGAGTAGATCGACATTGATGTAATTTAGATATTTTTATGAAATAAATTTGTCGTCAATAAATGGTAAATATGACAATTATATGGAACTAGTCTAAAGTTTGTGGGTTTTTTTGCTTTGGCCTTCAAAATCTGATGCTATAATGTTTGCGCTAGCGTTGTGTCTTTCTGTGCGAAGGCCTCCAGGACAGAAATTCTCACAGATAACATTTTCCTAGCGAATAAAAAATCTTCTAAAGGGATAAGAAGCAGAAGCTTCCCCGTATACATGAAAAATTTTATGTTTAAGAATTGAAATTGCGCAAAAAGTACGCTACAAAGAATTCAAAAAATTATAGTAATTCATAAGATCTGAAGATACCATTAAATATTAAGAAAGTTATTAAAACTTGTACTATCCAAGACTTATTTTAGATTCCTATTGATTATAATCTTTTAGAACGTTAATGCAAACATTTTTTTTGAATTAGTGATAAATTTAATTTTTATTGGAAAATATACAATTTCTTAAACTTTCTGAGTTCGATCATAAAATTTGTCCATTTTAAGACCCTCTGTGTGTGTGTGTGTGTGTGTCGCTTTTTTATATGTTCGACAATGACATAACGAGATAAAGAAAATCACAGTTCCTTTCATGGACCCTGCTCACTCTATCGGTTCCGCCTGCAGATTTAAGATCTCAAGAACGAACTCAAGTTAATTATTCTCCTCAAGTCCAAAGCACTGTCACGGGATTTCTAGATTGAATCTATTTCAATTTAATTTGAAGCTGTAGATTCCACAATTTTGGCTCCTTCTTGAGCATTCTCACAGGGACCAGACACATGTCGTTGGTTGCTCCTCTTCGGGAATATTCTTCCTCACAGAAATGTATACCCACCATTTTTCCCCCCTTCATTTTGAAAAACGCTGTCCTGTTCTCCTTCATACCTTAGCTGCCAAGAATCTCATCCTAATTTACGTGGGTATTTAGCTATGTGTTTCTCCTTGTCCATTCTCATTTGAAAAACGACACATGCTTCTAAAATTGCAGGCACACAATCCAAGTTGACTACCTTGTTCACAAGGCTTCAACTATTATCCTTTCAGCTTTCAGGGTTTCATCTTATCGAACGCAATTAATAATTGTCATCTATCTGTTCTCTCCTCTGAAGAAGCCCGCTTGTTAAACAAATGAAGAAATATTAACAGCGAAGCAAAAGATTATAAATTAGTATGAAAGTCTACGTACAATCTTTGTTTGGACCACAAATTGTTCTTACCAAATACGGCTAACGACTGTCCATGTGCTGTTGTAAGAGAATCTTATGCAGACTCTAGTTATATAAAGATGGAAAGGCTAATTAATACATTACTTTGAGCACCACTTGTGTATGGTATGCGTTTGTTTTTAAAGCTCAGGTTCTTAATGGAAATTATACTTTGTAGATTCGTCTTTGAAACTGGTACGATATCTACCAGAACAAGGTGGTGTGCATGAAGGTGATAAGGTTGGCCATCCATCCAGCTTTTCAATAACGCTCCAGGGAGAGACACAAGACAGGACAGCGACAGGATCAGGTAAGAAAAAGCAATTGCAATGTTATGAGGAGAGAAAATCACATAATACACCATCAAATAGTACAAAGAATAAATAGAAACTCAATTAGTGTATGACAGTACAGTGAATTTAATCATCAGCAACTGCTGAAACGTCAAGTTTCTGGAGTTGGTAATCATTCCTAATAATTTAAATTAAATTATTTGTCCTTCAATATATGTTTCCTCTTTCGTTCCCCAATGTGTGTGTGTGTGTGTAAACATCAAAGTGAAATAGGATAGTGAATAGTCCATGCCAATTTGACGGAATGTACAGCACACAAAGCTGTGCCAAGATTTGGACCACAGGCGCACGTTATAACTATTGCAAGTCGAGCGTTCAAAAGACGATAGGGCATTCATTCTCTATTCTCTAAGGAGTCGCATTTATCAAACCTTCAAAACTGAATTCGTCGTTAGATTTTCACTTATTGCCATGTCCTTCACTCCTTGTTTTATTTTTTTCTTTTTGGGTATTTTTCACTTATTGCAATGTTGCCATCGTGTCTTGATATCGAGATTGGTTCTTCAGCTGTTAAAGCACGACCGCTAACCCCACCTTATTTCTTTTTCCTATTTTTGCATCCTTTTGTTTTGTGATGCCATGCAAGCAAAACCTAAATCCTATCTCTTCCAAATGGCAACTTTTGTCATCATAGATGCAAACTTTTCTCCACGATTAAGTTTTCATCATTCCTACAATGTTTATGCGAGCAACAAGGGACTCCAAAGGCACCTATATTAACTAGAGATATAACATCAGCTAAACTACATCTTGATACAATTTTGTAAGCATTAATAAATCAGCCAAGCAGGGCAACATGTTGATCGTCAAATACACAAATAATAGATACTTTGTAAAAAAGGATTGCCAAGACTTGTTATTAGACCCTACCAGTCAAATCAACAACAGCCTCCTCTACAAGCTCTTCCAGCAACTTCCCTTCTATTTCCATGCCTAGAATATCAAGCTCCAATCCCCCTAGCTCAAACCATCCCTTCCCCACAACCTCCTCCCTAACAACCATTTCTATTATCATGCTGTTGCTGTCCCCACCATCCCCCCAATCAAATTTCATCCCACTAGATGTCATTTCCTTCACTCGGGACAAAACGAGGTCCATCAGTGGGGGAGATGAGCCCTCTTGCTGCCTGCATATCCTTCTCATTAGGCACTTTTCTGATCCGTAACCACCAATTTCCATTAACACAGCACTGACACAGTCAAATATAAGCATCCGAGTTGATCTTTGCTGCCTTCGTTTGGTCTCCTGGAGAGGCTCTTTGTTGTTCAGATTGGCATATTTGTCCCTCAATGATGGATCCAATGGGCTCTCGGGGGCATACCATCTTGAGTAAAATGAGTCTGACAGCACTTGATCATCAAGGCCGGCCACTGATAGTAGCTTCTGGACCAACACAAGACAGTCTCGTTCCTCTGCCACTGGATCGAGGGAAGTCATCAATGGTTTTAGTGAATACGAACTTGCTACCTCTGCACAAGAACCATCCCATGAGAGGGTCCGGGCTATTGATTCTATAGGTGGTGATTTGTCAATTAAATTAGACTTCAAGTGTCCCTGTGTTCCTGCATAATGAATGGAAATCAGACCATATAAGAATAATATATCTATCGACCAATAACAACGAACAGGAACTTCAGTTATTCAGTATAGCTAGGATGACAGTGAGAAGGTGGAGTAGAAGCTTTACCCAACTGTCCAGCCTTCATGCAGTCAGAGGATGCTCGAGCCGCATTATCATCTTCAAATGGAGGTTCTAAAACTGAAATTGGACTTGGCTGGTCCTGGATTTGGTTTGGTATGCCCAGAGCACCAGGTTTTGACACAGTCAATCCAGGCTGTGAAAACAAACACTGTCTAAGGAAATTGCAGTATATTGTTTATGAATTTTCAGCACAGATAAAATGTTCCATTTATATTGTCCGAGGATAAACACACTCAATTCATTTTAGAATCTGCAATATAATTCAAAGATGTTGTGCTTTACTCAATACCAAGTCTAAGATGACAAATGAAGTTGGAGGAAGCATAAAATTGTTCCAAGATTGTGAAAGAATAATTAATATTTAGTGCATTCCTAATTCTGTTTTTCTGTGTTTCATTTCTTCTTTCCCCTTAATTTGCGATGGAAAGGAGGATTAAAGAGAATCGGACTATGAAGAAAGTGCCTGGTTAAGAGTAAACGAGTGACCTAAAGATGTCATTAGCAACGGAAAGCAACTTTTGCACATGCAACATAATAATATATTTAAATATGCAGAATGATGCTAGCCAATACCTCTAGAGAAATTAGGCCTTTTTGTCCCTTAGGGACTGAATCTGATGAAGATTTAGTTGATGCTTCACATAGATAATGATGAGAATGGTCTCCAGAGCCGCCACTGTTGAAGCCCTGAGACAAATCATCTCCATGGATCCCAGGAAAATTTGATGGAGATTTTGACGTTTCAAACATAGTAGATTGGGATTCGTTTTTAGATTCAGATAGACTAGATCTTTCCTTACTCGACCTTTTGTTCCTTGAGAAGAGCAAACTTGAAACTTTCCCTTTAAATGATGATTTTGAGCTCTTTGACTTTGCCAGTTCCTTCGGAATAGCTGTATAGCCAACCTCTGAATTGCAAGCTTCAACATTGAATCCAGTTTCATAGACATTAGAAGATACAGGACGGACTTTGACCTGGAAAGATTTTTGGGAGAATCGCCCAGGTGTTCTTCACTGAAATTACTTTTCCAGGAACAAGATTCTCTCGGTTCTTGGTCTTTGATAATAACCTCAACCTGAGAAATTGCAGATTTCTTCATGTCAGATAAAGCAAGCATCTCGCCTAAGGTAGAGCTTCTCCGTGCTTGACTTCGTTCCTGAGGATTCATATTTGATGCCATCATGGCCCATCTTTCAGAAAGTCGTTTCTTTGCCTCTCTGCATACTGAGGATTCCAGAGATTTGGATGCACGACCAAAGGATGATGAAGAATAAGGGCTACCAGTACGATTGATGTAATCCCAAGAATGCCTAGGAGATGGAGACATAAATTCTGAATCACTATCATTCCCTGCTGCATACTCATTTTCTGATTGATTAAATGAGCTCTCATCACCAGTATAGCCATTGGAAAAGACTGTCGAATACAAAGTTTCATCTCTTTGAAGGCCCCTAGGAATTTCTTGCATTTGCTCCGTGACCTCTTGTGCTGTCTTTCTTGATTCTAGTACATCATTTTCATGTTCCTGATAGAGACTTCCAATTTGCAGATCTTGAGATGAGGATGACGTTGGAGTAACCACGGCCTTACTCTCATGTGTCTTCCCAAAGCTAGGCTTCAATACTACTATTCGAGTAGGTTGAACTGGATACTCGTCAACCCTTTGACTGGCCAGAGAGTATCCATGATTCCTTTTGTCCCATACAGCAGCTTGCCCAACATAAGTTGGTTTCTTGACTGGTTTATCATTCTTTTCCTTATAAGGAGATTTG